AAGAAAAAAATATACTAAGTTTAAAACTTGGTGAAAAACTGGCCTACTAGAGATCAGTTATGTTGGTCAGATTTTATCCGCAACAATGTTCATTTACCGTTTCATTAATTAAGCACTCAAAACTTCTATTCTTTCAGACATTGTCTTCTATGAACTTCCCATTTTTTAATATAAATAAACTGACCATTTATTTAATGTTTGTGGGCTCTAAATGAACAGATTCAACACTGAATCTATAAATCACCTTTATATATAAGGATTAGCTGAAAAGCCTGATGGCCAATGAATACTACTAAATAGACAAATGAATATTTTACTCTTGTTAATGAACTGACATATATTATACTTTGCTACAAATACTTATATATAATGCACAAGTGTGTTTGTTCACAGTATAGGTTAAGCTGCTTATATAATTTTTAAAAAATTAACAGGAAACAAAGGTTTCTACAGTGATATTACTATTTCAAGCACCATATCATCATCTAATAGCTCTCAGGCAAGCTGTGAAAAACACAAGGATATTAAAGACAACTATACACAAAGAAATTATATGTACTATTTTTGCTCCAAGTTCTAGTCTGCTTTGTAGATTAATGATTAAAGTTCTTTCAAGTGAAACATCACAAATTAGATTCACGGAGGGCATCTACATGCACAAAGCATATGCTCAACATTGGAAGTTTCCTTGGTCAACGAAGGGCGGGTCTAAGTATTGAACAGTAACGCATGCATTAAATAAAATGCATTAAATGCACATATTAAGGGCTTTTTCTGGTGTTGGCCTTACAGGATCCTGGGTTCCAAAGATGCCCTACGGCTGCAGAAGTCGTCTCACAGCCGTGACCAGAACAGTTCCGAGCACCCAGCCCTGTAGGCTGGGGAGGCCAAGAGCACTTTTGAATGGAGCGCCAAGGCCACTGTGCACTGGCACCGAGCGTACAGCCTCGGTCCACTAACCTGGAAGCCAGCAGGCTCGCGGGGCGTTGCGAGCAAGTGACGCACTGAGGCCTCGAGGCGAGACGGGAGGACACGGCCCCCCAGCCCCACCGCCAAGGTACCCAGGCCGCCGCCATCTTCCCAGCTGCCCCTGCGCCCAGCGCCGTCTACGGACTTGCAGGCGACGCGCGGATCTCGGGTCACGTAGCAGTTTGAGACGGGCGGGGGAGGTGGGGGTTGCGCAACTGCCTCACGTGGGCGGCATGCGCAGGACCGTGCAGCTCGTGACCTGGGTGTTCTGTAGGATGTTTGGCCTGTGACATTTGGGTGGCTTTCGGTGGCTGCCTTGTGTGCCAGCCCAGAGCTCGGAGACGCTCCGGATCCAACGTTCACCGATGGGAAAACACGTCATCATCCCGAGGACCCCAAACACCAGAAACAGAAGTGCTAGGCTGCCGGTCACAAGGCCCTGCGACTCCTTTTTAACCTGTCGTGCTCCCAGGCGCATTAGTCTTAAAGTCACTCCCGTGGAGTGGCATCAAACACTCGTCGCATCCTCGCCATTTTCAATTTGGCTTTTGTTCAAGTTTTTTATGTTCCTGACCCTCTGAATTCTTGGGATTGCCTTCTTAAATAAATTCAAGTAGCTGAATCTTACGGAGAAAAAAAAAAATCTTAGAAGACATTAAGTTTTAGGAGAATGCAGTATGGGATTAGAACCAACATCAATATTTGAAGCACTGAAATTATACAGTACTCAATTATATAGAAATTTATGCATTTTATTGGCAAAAGATACTTTAACCAAATGAGAACCTAAAGTAGATTTTGAAGCATAGATGCAATTCTATTCAGCTTAATCCTGCAAATAAATATGATTCCAATACAATTAACCAACAGGTATGACTAGACAGTTTAAACTGGCAAATATGAACCTCACTTACTGAAAAAAAATTGTGGTGTAAACACTCAGGAATCTTAAGAAGAATTGAGTTCCAGGCCTGAGGTAAATATGGGGACACTGGCTCCAAAAAGATAAAATAATTTTTCCACCCACCAGATGGCCAAAAATCCAAATGAGCAGTTATGAGCACAGATACTGGAAACATTTACACAGGATTGTTGGGTGGTGACGACCTAAAATCTTTTGTCAAGCATTCTAACCACATTTATTACAGTTTAAAATGTACATAATTTTCAATACTCTTTGAACCAGTCTGCTTTTAATTATCCTATAAAAATGAATTAAAAATCATAAGTAAAATAAACATGAATGTTATCTACTACAGAGCCATTTTTAAAAGAAAAGAAAAAATCATGTCAATAGGAAAATAATTGAATAAATTGTGATACTACGGTTTCCAGATTCTGACATCCTTCAAAGTAATTCTTGGGGCCTCAAGTATCAACCAATATAGATGTTATCTTGCATATTTTGCTTAAAATTACTGATTGGTGTGGTGCAATACTTTGGGTAAAACCATTTTATTAACCTTTAGTGCTTGGTGCAGAGTTAAAAGCAAGGAAGGGCTGGGCACAGTGAGGTGTGCCTGGAGTTTTGAGAACCTGCCCTATTAGAACACACTGGAGAAGTTTGACAGAGAAAGATGGAATACATCTTTTTCTTGAGTGCAATGCATCTCCTACAAGAAGCACATACAGTAATAGATTTGCCTCTATCACTGGCACATCTTTTATCATTTTGATTTTGTCTCACTTTTCTGTGCCTCACTCCTCAACTAATTAATAAAGTCAGCCGTACCTGAAAAAAAAAAAAAAAGAAGAGAAACACTATAGTTGTACAAGTTCTTTGTCTAAGTTTTCAGAAATGCTTGGTGACCTGTGGACAGCATTGAAACTTCATCGAGAGAACTCTACTGTAAGAACTAGCCACGTACCCCATCTGGCTATGCTAAAATTAGGTCGCCCACACAGACTCTTGGAATCCGAGTGAAAGACCATCTTCCACCTGCTGGCTTGCTGTCCAAAAAGCTCTTTGTTTTCTAACAGTCTCTCAAGTCATTGGCATGACTTGCTCACAGCAGAACTGGACTTTTCATAGTTACATAAGGACAGCCACTTGATTTTAGGACCTACTAAAGATGTGGAACTATTTACCGGTATATAGATTCCAAAAGGATTGAATCACAAAGGTGCTGGTGTCCAGTGAAGTTCTCCTCACCATCTTTTGTATCCTCAAAGCTAACCTTCCTCCTTACAGTGTTTAGGTAATTGCAAATACTGTTAACCCTTCCTCCTTTATTTTCATTTTAGTTTTTCAGGTTGTGTTGGAATTTATGTGTAGCAAAATTAATGTGTGTGTGTGTGTGTGTGTGTGTGTGTGTGTGTGTGTGTGTGTGTGATTTACAATAATGGAGAAAGCACTATGTAGAGCCAGAAAGGGGGAACCCAGGGAACACTTTCTCAGTTCACTCAGTATAACAAATCAGGAACGTAAGTGGCTTGTGGCAAATCAAAATACCTTTACTGACAGTGATAGGCCAGAAGTAAAACATTTTGCTTTCCCTTAGGGCACCTGCTATCAGTGTTCCTTTCATTAGCATAAGAAAGTAACAAAAAGAGTTTTTCAAGGCAGTTTCTCTTTTTCATCAGCTTAGGTCCCAGCCACGTAAGCCCCCAAGCTTAACTCACAAATTTGTATTATGCTTTTTACCCTTTTAGACAGGATATGTCTTACAAGCCTCAGCAGTAACTCATCAATGCAAAAAGATAGTAATAAAATATAAGATTTTTTTCGGTATTCACCTCATTTTTTCAGCAATGTGACTGTGGTGGTTTGAATGAAAATGCCCCCCATAGGCTCCAAGTATTTGGACATTTTGTCCCCAGATGATGGTGCTGTTTTGGGAGGTCTTAGACAGTGTGGCCTCCTAGAGGAGGCATGTCACTGGTGTTGGGCTAAGAGAGTTCTTAAGCCTTGCCAGACCTCCAGTTGCTTTCTTTCTTCCTGTGCCTGATGGAAGATGTAGAGCTTAACTTCTGCTCCTCCTCCAGTCACCTCTGCTGACATACCTCCCCACCAAGATGGACTGTAATTCCCCTGAACTGTAAGCTCAAATAAACTCTTCCTTCTATAAACTGCTTTGATTAGTGTTTCTATCACAGCAACAGAAAAGTGACTAATATAGTGACCATGTATACTTCTAATTAGTTTATGAACTTCCAAATAAAATGTTAACACATATCAGCCTTTATGTAGATTCTAGAGTTACCTTTCGCTGATTAATCTATCCTCCATCTTGTTACAGAGAGTTAACTTCCACATGAGAGAGAAGTTGAGTTTCAAATGTGAAATCAGGTCAACACTTTTAATTCAAACTCAATACGCCTAACACACGTTTAAAAGGTTTACAACATGCAAGCTGATTAGAATACCCTTACAATCCTATGAACAAAATACAGTACAGAAAATTTGTATCTTTACCTCAACCACCAAAATCTTCACAATTGCATCTCAGATCATTACAGAGCTGAATGGTGACCTCTGCAAAATCAGATTCTAAAAAATATTTCCTAGTCATGATTTTTGTCCTTCATTGTTCAAGTAAAATCTTGTGTCATCCAGTTGCAAAGTCTTATTATTGGCATCATGTATATATAAAAGTACACTGCAAATTTAAAAGAAATTGTACCCCGTCAGGCCTGACAAAGTTATATAGACACTTCTAATTATCATTCTTTGTACTCCTAAGTAATGTCATTAATTTCTACTATTCCTTTGCCATGTTTTAGGAAAGAGTACACTCATACTTAACAAACACACAACACAAAACACAAAAACTAAACTAAATGGCACTTGAAAAACCATTTATAAAAGAGACTTGACTGAAGTCATTTCATTCAACAAAAATTAACTCTAAAAGGCTAATTATAAAGCTATATACATATATAATAAGACAGTATATTATAATGTTAAACTGAATTTTGCTTGCCTTCTGAAAACAAGAATTTTAATTGTTCTGTTCTTTGGTGAAACAGACATGATTTCATAGATCTCACATTTGAGTGTAATTAGCAAGCTTGCCCCATAACAAAGAGAAATGAGACAATCTAAGAAAAATTGGCTACTGGTTGCCTTTTTTTCTTAGCACCAAGAATGGAAAAATCTTCAGTAAAACAAGGTCCTACCATAAATGTTCTCTTTAATTAAAACTGCCCAGTGTTCTGAAGGGTCTGCTGTCTAAGATGACCTTTTCATAAGACACAGAGCTTTTTGGTTTTCATTCTTTTACAAGAAGTGTTTTACTATGTGCGCACTACAGCAGCTTACACTGGTGATGACACTGCAAAGTCAGCATCAAAATATCATTTTAAAGTATAGAACAACACTAATGTCAAACAGGAGTCAAGCCAGGTCTTTGGTTTTGGTGCAGTATTTAAAAATTAAGGTGAAGCCTCTAAAACATTCCCCTCCAAGTCATTATTTGCTTATATTTATAAAATGCTACTTCCAAAAAAGCCAGTTGCTTACCAATATTATCAATGACAATGATTTAGCTAAGTTCCCTATTTCTAAGTACATATATACAGATATTGTGTAAACTGTTAAGTTTATTTAGCCAAAATCAACTGATAAAAAGTTTATTAGAAATGCTCATATAAGTGATGCTGTTTATCAAAATAGTATGGGTTTGTTTTTTGGGTTTTTTTTGGCCATAGGAGTTTCAGTCCTTTTGCTGTTTATGATCAAGCTTTGAACTGAAACCCCTATTTTCTTTTCCATAAAGGGCTCTTTGATATGAAAAGAGTTCAGATTACACAATGCTGAAGGGATGGATCTGTTTGGTCTTTCCATCTGAGAATGAATATGGCTTCATTCTTGCAAGATGCTATTGCAGTCTGCCCTGGAGTGGGACCATAGGCTCAGTTCACTACAACAGGAAGTGGGTGTATCCTTCTGCTCCCGTGACTATAACATCCATCCAGATCCGCATGGCCTCGGGTGATGGAGCTACCATGTAATAGATTCTGTCATGTGTCTTGACGCTAAAGGTGAGTAATGGATTAGGACTCTGAAATTCAAAACAAGAAAAGAACATTAAAGAAACGCCTTGAAAGTAAAACGTTAAGTAACACTGACGTATGTGAAGGGTTCTTCTGCTTTGAAAGTTGCCCTAGAGGGGCTTGGAGAGATGGCTTAGCAGATAAGAGCACTAGCTGCTCTTGCAGAGGACCTGGGTTCGATTCCCAGCACCCACATGGTGGCTAACAACTGTCTATGACTCCAGTTCCAGGGGATCCATGGGCATTGCGCAAGTTCTATTACATACAGGCGATACATGCATACACATAAAACAAAAATAATAAACAAAATATTTTTTAAGTTGCCCTTAATAGAAATTTCTACTTGTATCACATATGTTCCACTATAACTCCCACGCCATCTCCCAACTTCCGCAGGACTGACCATCTCTCTTGCCTTTATATACAAGATATCTCAGGCACAACTCACCATTCTCTTTGTGACCAGTTTGCACAGTACCTAGCTGATGAGAGGTGTTTTATGAATAACAGTGATCATTCTTAGCCCTATTAAGATCCTGTCAAATTATGATTCTCCCTCCTAATTACACAGCTCCTTCCCAAAGTGCTTGCAAAGTGGCTTTTCAGTATTTCCCAACCCCCTATATCCAGAATCTTTTCTTGACTTTTTTTTGTCACAAAATCTGTCCAACTCACTCCAGTTTTAAGTTCCCTGCACCCTTCTGAACATATTTCTCTATCCTGCCAGAACACAACACCTAAATCACTTATAATCTCCAAATACCTATTTTCTCCCCTAACTTAATTATGTATTCAAATGGCAGAAATTAGCCAGGCCTACTGGCACGTGTTTTTAACCCCAGCTACTCAGGAGGCTGATGCATGAGCAACGCAAGTTCAAGGCCAGTCTAGGCAAGGTAGTGAGACCCTGTCTCAAAAAATAAAAAAGGACTGAGGATAAAGCAATTGCCTAGAGTGCATAAGGCCCTAAGTACCAAACAACAACAACAAAACCCCAAATTGCAGATATTTGGGAAACTGGTATTTACCTTATTAGCATTCTTGAGGTGATCATAATACACTTCTTCGATGGCTTGGAAGTATATTACTCCTTTTAATTTAGCCTCATGCTTGTCTGCAAAGATAGATGAGTGTTAAATACTTTACCACCACTGGTAAACAGGAAAATAATGATAATTTAATTAGTTATCATTATTAAAATATTTAACTAACATTTAAATGATCTAAGATGAATCCAGGTAACCTAGGTTCATACAAAAATTCTCTTATGCAGCAATTCCACTTCAAAGCTTTGTTGCCTAACATCTACACATGCTCTGTACTGCACGTGGATCTGTGTGCTGTGATGCACAGCTGGGAAGATTCTGCTTGAATTTTAATAGGAGAATGCTTCAGCTAGAGGCTAGCACACGGTGGAATCGGTACAGCTGCTGAGACAACCGAGGTATGTCTGTATGTGTTCATAGAGAACAGTATAACCTGAAACATGGCATGAGAAGACTGAAGAATTTCAGTCTCAAACCGTATAAATGTGAAGGACACAACTCAGGGCACTTGCCCAACAATTTCAAGGCCATGAGTTTTTACTCCTAGAACAGTAAGAAAATGAAAAATCAGGCTATGTATATATGTGTATGTGTGTGTGTGTGTGTGTGTGTGTATACACACATATATATGAAGAATGTACGTAATGAAACATAAAATAGAATATTTCAGGCTTAACAGTGGGAGGTCAGAACATCTGTGATAGAAAAGGATTTACTACTGTTACATGGACTTTGTTATATTTTAATATTTTTGCTGAGTGAATACCTTCCTTTCCCCAATAATGGTAAAAAGCTAGTTTGAAAAAATAGCCCAAACTATAGACTTGATGTATTTAGTTACATTTAACTTAGTCTTTCCCTAAGTGACTTGACAATGAACCATATTTTTGTGTTGTTTTTGCTCTTCCTTAGGTAATATTATTTTAATTAATATCATGCTCAGTGGATTTCAACCAGTTTCAGTGAAAGTCAGTTTATCTTTCAAATATTTACAGGAAAGGATCCTGCAGTAATTGGAGGGAATACAGTTACCATGTTTTCTCACGAAAGATGTAAGATAAAATCTGGAGATATAAGTAAATGTTGGTGCTTCAAGCAGGCAGAAAACGGGAATGAAATTTTGTTTGTAGGCCATTTCATCTGTGAGAAAGCACTTGAAAAATCACGAGCCTCACCACCGCTTGGTGCACAGAGGGACCCGGGATGCGCTTGTGTGGATGAGATAACTGGATCCATTGTGTCTCCCAGCAGCACTGACAATTACAGACATAGTTTCTCTGCCTACTTTCTTCACAGACTGTTAAAGTTCTAAGCCCAGAGTCCGAGATCATGCACAACAGGGAGGCCTCGTTTTATTTTCTTAAGCTCTCAGTATTCACATTTGTATGAGTCTATATATAAGGCCATTGACCCCAATGACAAACTGAGGGGGTATGGCTCTTGTAGGGTCAAGGTTAGCCTGAGCTGTAATCAAGATGAGTGGTTTGGGACTGGTATATACCAATTCTTGTGGGTGTTTGGAAAAAGGATGGGGTAGGGGTAGGGATGAGAGCACAGGCAGTGGATGAGTGACAGCTGTGAACAGAGCCAAATTAGCATCTGGCCTACCCGCAGCCAGGTGATAGCATTTTCAAATGCAAAAGGACTGATAGAATATACTTCTCATATATTTTAAGTATTAGGGTTCTAAATTATCTTTTCTAGGCAAAAAAAAAAAAAAAGGTATTTAAAATAAAACTGAAAATCGGGCACCAAAAGTTTCAAGGGTCAGAGGGATGTAGGTTTGGAGAATCTGCTTGGGTCCCTGAACCAGACACCTGACTGATGAGGAAGAACTGAAATCAGGCTCACGGAGAAGAGAAACATGGAAGAGTGGAGTTGCTTTCTCTTTGAAGGTCTTTGACCTTTTCCTGTTGAAATAATCTGAGACTGTCCATAAAGGAGAACATACTGCAGTGCTTTGTCTACACATTGTGCAGACACTAGAGTGGATTTCTTATTAAACAGGCATTTTCCCATCAGACAAACTGATGACTGCTGCTGTGAACTTTGTAAGAAACTCAAGAAAAGAAAGCAGGACCCTGTGACGGCCAGGCCATTTGCTTTAGACTAAGAGCCCTTCACTGAAGGCATGGCTCTCTAGCTGATTCCCCACCCAGTTCTGCGGCTCAAGGACCAGTGTTTCCCTTTCTCTGGAGGCCCTGTGCTCATAAATATCACCTCAGCACATAGATTCCATGACTTTATCCCACCTATGCAGTTTATGATTTTGACTGTGCTTCTAAGTGCTGTCATGGAATCCCCAAGCACGAGACCTGGTGTGATATCACTCCTTCTTAGCAGCTGAAGACAGCAGAGCCAGACGTAAGCTTACAATGGGCATATTTCATGTACGATCCAAGTGCAAATACGAGGCTTCTTTATTTCTTAGTTGTTTAGAGACAGGATCTCACTGTGCAACCCAGGCTGACCTCAATCTTCTGTTTCCACTTCCTGAGTGCTAAGCTTATAGCTATGTCTGGCCCAAGAGGCTTTTAAATAAATACTTCAGTTATACCAATAATATTCTTCGATTTGTATAAGATTCAGTAGATATGTTTTTCACAGTTCAGTATTGGAGACTCCAAAAATGTTTCTGACACTTAATGAATGCTTCTTTATTCATTCATTCGGTTTGCTGATGAGCTTTGCTCTCTATGCTTGAGACATCAGGCTAACTTACAAACTATAACTACATGAATGACAGCCAGGGCTGCTTTGTTATGTGTGATTTAAATATAATATATAGCAAATGAAATAAATATTAACAATATCTTTTTCTGCCTTTGTAGTTTAAAGGGCAATGTTTTCATGTAAAAATAAATTCCATTTAAAATGTATTTGGACTGTAGTTTATTTCAGAATTAGAATAGACTAATTCACACTTAAAATAACATTGATTTTATTTGTAAAAAGTAAATTCATATGATATTTAATTATATATCTTAATATAAAATAATGTATGCATTATTTTATATGCATACATTAACTTTCTTACATTTCAACCTATCAAGTATTCAACTTTATTTCTTCTCTTTCCTTTCTTTTCTTCCCTTTCCTTCTCTTTCTCTGTTTCTCTCTCTGTTTCTCTCTCTCTCTCTCACTCTCTGTCTCTCTCTCTCTCTCTCTCTCTCTCTCTCTCTCAGGATCCCACTATGTTGCCTAGTGCCTAGAGTCAATTTGTGAGTTGATGTGATCCTCCTGCCTCACCTTCCAAAATTGTATTGACACAGATAATGATTTTCAATTTCCTTTGTTCTTTGACAGATTTGAATATATCATTGTTTTGTTTTTTATTACCCACCTGCATAATAAGAAAACGTTCTCTTATTCCGGTCAAAAACAAACCAACGTTTTTTCCATGTTTTAATTTTTCCACCCATTTTGATGAGGTATCCTCGGCAGGTCTTCTCTGTGATTGATACGTGAAAACAGGTGTCAATATTGTGACCAGCAGTTTCTACGTGGCTCCGCAAATCAAAGTCTTCCTTCCGGACAGGCAGATAGCGTGTCAGAGGACGAGCCTGGAAAAGTGCAAAACCCATTCCATCTATAGTTAACTGCTTCATTTTGGTTTGCATATCTTTAGATATAGGAAGGACGTATAAAACCTAGGCTTTAAAATGCCATGGAATTACAAGTACTTATGATAAAAAGGCACTTATCATCTAGAGACTAAAAAGCAGGTATTACTTTAAGTAGGAATCTACAGTATCAGGAGGTAAATCCATAAATCAGGCTTACTGATTCTATTCCTTAAGATGGATGGAGGGAGAATGGAAAAACATCATTAATGTAGTGTCAAAGAAGCCCTCAGCCTGTAACCCACACAGGGATATGAGGCATGGAGCAATCCCACTGATCTGTGTGGAACAGGATTCTTCCCCTGGGAAGCTTCCTCTTCTCCCCAACACAACCTCACAACAGTTCTCCATCCGTAATCCCAGACACTGCCTGATTGACAGACACTGTTTGGTAGGTATAACCCCCAAAAGATCCTCCAAAGTTATAAATGTCAACTTATATATTCAAAGCAGAGATGAGTTCTTTGAAAAGTGAAGCTAAAATAAAGTTAAGTATAGAATAAAAACTGAACCTAATGTGGTGGGCTATGCAGGACCAGAGATCAAAGGGATGTGCTTAGATAACTTGTTTTACTGATGATGAGGGCCAAAGTTCACATCATCCAGGAAACACACATCAATATGGATACTGCTTCTAAAATGCTGTTTTATTTTTGTCCTGTTAAGTAATTCCATTCCTTTTCCTCGGGGAAATGATCTAATCGTATACTTGAAGGAAAACCTTATAGTCAAGACTAAAATAGAATTATGCCTTTTGGTTTGGCTTCAGATATTAAAAAGCATGGATGACCTTCATTGCAAATCAGAGTTGGGCAGAGGTTGGACATAATCAAATGAAAGGAACAGTTTTTCCTCAGTATTTTACTTTTGATTCTGTGGTACTTGACCATAAGAGAGATGCCACAAGCTTCTCATGACCTCAAAACACACAAAGCTTTAAAAAATAGTCCCCAATGGCTGTACTATCAAATGGCCAGCAACTAGACAGGATGAGGGAAAGAAGACCTATTACTTCTGAATCTACTAGATAAATGGACAATGGTGATGAAACTGACTTGAACTTTACATAATGTTGTAGTTTATAATTTTTTATTTTATTCTCTGAAAATATACATTATGTAAGCAGCTGCAGTGATAGGAACAGAGATTGCAAATCTATGACAACCAAGATAGGAAGTTAAAATAAGTGGTTTTCCTGAATTTGCCTTGAGATTGGTTACAGACTGGTGTAGGAAAGGGGGCATGTGTGACAATATAGTGGTTAGAAAAAGAAGAAAAATACTACCACTACCACCAAGAAGTTGGGCTGCTTTAATTTTATCCTGTTTTGGCCGGTTTGTTGCTAAAGACGGCTTAAACAAAATCTTTTCTTTCTTCAACTAAAGGTTTTGGTTTGAATGTTGTGCTTTCAGAGGCTATTTCAGCAGAACTTTTCAAAGTTGTCCAAAAGGTATTCTCCTTTGGGGGCTGGAGAGATGGCTCAGGAGTTAAGAGCACTGGCTGCTCTTCAGAGGACTTAGCTTCAGTTCCAAGTATCCACACGGCAGGCAACTCACAACTCTTTAACTCCAGTTCGAGGGGATCCAACGCCCAATGCCCTCTTCTAGCTTCCGTGGGTGCACTAATATACATGCAGGCAAAACATTCATACACATAAAAAATTTTTTTAAATGTACCTAGAGAATAGGTAGAAAAAGTGAAGTGTCTCACCCACCAGCAAGTCCCATGAGACCAGAGAAAGTGTCACTTGGTTACTAGTTTCCCTGGAAGTTCCGAGACACAGGCATTGAGCCCACCCACGAGAGAATTACTGTCTTCTACAGAATGGCCACCAGGGGGCAACCTATGCTTAAGCGTCCGCATTGACCCACCAACCTGTGCCCTCTGTTTCTCCCTTATCTTCACTTCTTTTTCTATTAACTTCTGCCTCTGGCTGGTTTCTTCTTGCAGTCGTTTCTCCAGAACTTCTCGGCGCCGTTTTTCTTCTTCCAGAGCTCGTTTTTTGGCTTCCATTTCCCGTTCCTAACACAGACCAATACTTATTTTAAAATATGCTGGTTAAACTTGAATGGTTCTAAGTAATATACCAAAACCCCAGTTCTCACTAGACAATTTTCAGCTTGTATTCTAGTCTCTTAAAACATATAACCGGGACTAACATAAACCACGACCACCTCTGCATAGCTATCAGGCTCGCCTCATGGAATTAATTAATAACAATTAAATACGAATCAAGTGAAAATCCGACTTTTGACTACATCAGGCATTTGTGTTAATGACCACAGGTCTTCCTCTTTTTAAAATAAAAGACCTTACCAAGCTGTCATGCAACACTCACCACGCAGCTTGGACTTTCTCTGGGAGGCCATCTCCTAACTGAAGGCCATAGTTCCCTCCAATTCCTGTTATTGCTCTGAAGCTTCCTGACTGGAAGCTCGTGAGGAAGTTGGAAAAGGAAAGGAGGTGCCCTCAGGGCAGGATGCAAAGGCATTTGGGGGGATTCTTAAGGAAGTTCTGATTTTGGACCGAAAGTCAAATACCATGGGGTTTGTTTTGTTTGTTTTTTTAATATAACAGTAGTTCAGTTAGCCCGAGTTGAAGCAATGTCATTCTTCCTTAGCAAAAATCAAAGCAGCTATCCAAGGGGAGATGGAATAGAATGTGTCCATTTCAGTCCGTGTTAGACACACATTTCAAGTTGTAGAACACAGCAGTGCACAGGGCGATGGAAGTCATGTCTCTAACACCTTTACTTCTCATATAGGAAAGGAGGCCAAGAAAGGCCAAGTGGCTTCCCCAAGGTCACAGCACCTAGAAAAGTTCTAGAAGAAGCCCACTTCCTGATTTCAAGTGTAGGGCTCTCTGCACAAATGCCCCATTAGAGACCCCTGCCACAAACTCTAGCTTACCCTGGATTCAAGCAGCCGGGTCTTTTCTGCATGTGCCTGTTTTAAGAGTCTCTCCATTTCTTCTATCCTGGCAATATTTGATGTGCTAGCACTGAAACAAATAAAAAGCTTTTTGAGAATATTTGTTAAGCCTGATAAGTCTCTCTCTGTCTCTCTCTCTTTCTCTCTCTCTCACACACACACACACACACACACACACACACACAGAGTCAAGGGTGATGCATGACACAATCAAAGCCTATACAATTTAAAGGATGTTGCTTATGAGTCATTGGTCTTAAAAGGCAAATCAATTTCACTCTGAAAATTGTAGGTGACACTGACTTACCTCAGTTTAGGAGATAAAATTAGGCACTCATAAACAAGGCCAGTGTAAACTGGTTAGAAATAAAGAAAGCAAAGCCAAATCTTAAAAAGTGTGACTCCAAAATGCAGCTTTAAATTCTAATAATGATAGCTTTGGGAGGACTTCCCTTTAGTTCCTGATTCTGACGTCAGACCAACAAGACTATCATAACATTCTATGCAAAGGACACCTAATGTTTGAAGTCACTTTATTCAGCTGGGCAATGTGTAGTACCACCAGGGCTTGTTGTACCTTAGTACACACAGACACGCTACTTTCTAAATGAGGATGCCATTTCAAAACTACTTCCATATGTGCACTGACAGGTGATGGGGAGTTGTGTCAAAAGCTCTCCCCCAGCATGATAATGAGGAAACTGCACAGGAGATTCAAGAACATAAAAGAAATGCATCTTGGTAAAGACATCACCCAAACAAGTGAAGAGGAAGAAAAAAGCAAGAGGAAGCCAAAATAATAGCCAGGGCAACTGACAGAGAAAGAGCAGTAACTGGAAACATGTAACAGAAGACAGAAAAACTAGTTTTCAATTGTTTACATTTCATTTGACTGTCTTTGGAATGAAGAACAGTGGTCTAGGCGAAATTTCATTTATCCTTGTGCTAGATAGCTTCAGTTGTCATCTTGATACACCTGGGTAGAGGGAACCTCAGTTAAGAATTTCCTTGCTTAGACTGACCTGTGGCCTGTGGGGCATTTTCTTGATTGTTGAGTGATGTGGGAGGACCCAGTCCACAGGGAGCAGTGCCACCCCTAGGCAGGTGGTCCTATGTTATATAAGAAAGCAGGCTGAGTATGGGCTGGGGGAGCAAGCCAGAAAGCAGCGATCCTCCATGGTCTGTGCTTCAGTTCCTGCCCTGTCTTCCCTCCGTGATGAGCTGAAAGCTGAAAGTGAAACAAACCTTTTCTTCCCCAAGTTGGTTTTGGTCAGTGCTTCTATCACAGTAATAGAAAGTAACTAGAACAGTCCCGATGCTTCCTCCTCACAGAACCCTATTGTGTGCTGCGTGCTGTGTTTGCTCAAGCACAAACCTTGCTCTTAGACCTACCTGAGCACAGACAAGTTTTCCTGCTTGTGTTCCCATAGCACAAAGTCCAGCACAGGAGGCACATTCAGAAAATGAACGCATCAAAATGTATGTTGAAAGGAATAAGCAGAACCCTGAGGGTTAGTATGGCTATTATATAAAGCATTCTTGAGTTAAATATGTATACAGACACCTTTGCGAGTGAACGTGCATGTGTACAATGTGTACATGCACATGTATGTACATGTGTATAGAGGTCAGAGGCCAATCTGGGGAGTCATTCTTCAGGAACACTCTACTTTGTCTTTTGAGATGGGATCTCTCATTGTTCTGGGGCTTGCCAAGTAGGCTAGGCTGGCTGGCTAGCATGCCCCAGGGACCCACATGTTTCTGCCTCCTCAGTGCTAGGATTCTAAGTGTGCCACCATGCCTGACTTAAAAACAAAAAAACAAAAAAACAAAAAAACAGGCTGGTTCTGGGGGTCAAACTCAGATCATTACTCTTGTGCAAAAGTGCTTTATGGACTGTGTTATCTCTCCAGTCATGTATGTATGCTTTTAATTAATGTTTATTTTATGTGTGTGAGTGTTCTGCTTGCATGTATGTGTACCTGTGTCACACAATAGTCACAAAGGCCAGGAGAGGGCATCATATCTCTTCAAACTGGAGTTACAGCTGGCTGTTAGCATCCATGTGGGTGCTGGGAACTGAACCTGGTCCTCTGCTGGAGCAGCCAGTGCTCTTAATCACTGAGCCATGTCTCCAGCCCCTATATGTGCACTTTTGAGACACAGCCTCACTATGCAGCCAGGCTGGCCTAGCACCCACTATCCTCCTGCCTCAGACTCTTAAGAACTAGAATTTAAAGGTATGAGCCTTAGTTTCCTAAATTATATTTTTGACCAGTTCAAACCTAGGAGGCCTCAAATTTAAGACTATTCTGAAGACATAAAGAATCACACCACACATGGCCTGCCTCAGCCAGAACTGCCAGTCACATTACAAAGCAGACATGGGAGAAAGGCCAGATCTTTATAAGCTTCATAACCACGATGCACTTTGCAGTGTGTGTTTGGGCTAAGTTCTAACCAGGCGCTTTTCCCTGAGAAAGAGAATACGCTGATTTCTTATTATTCTTTCCAGTGGTTATTGAGAAAAGTACAGAGGATTATTTCTGTGCTTCTTAGCAATCTGGAATTCAAGAAATAAACTCTAATATTTGTGTATAAATGCTTATTCCCTTTCATTGACAATACTTGACTTCATGTAAAGAAAAAGAACATACTTCACTGGTCCAGCTGAGAAAGCCAAAGACATTATCCGACTGTAGGCCATATAAGAGCATCAAATTAAATGCATATTCTATGCTGCTGCCCATGATCAAATATACACTTTATGTCACCAACAAATTTAGAAGGGATTTGAATTTTACTAAATCACAGGTCTTAAAAACTTGTCAATTAAAAAAAAATAGCACTGGGACTGCAACTCAGTGCTAAGCATACTTGCCTAGCATGCATGAGGCCTTGGGTTCAATCCCTAGCAACACACAAACACACACACACACACACACACACATACACACACATGCACACACATGCACACGTATGCACACACACACTAAAGAAACAAGCCCACCAATCCTCTATCCTCACTCATCACATTGTTATAGAATCTATATTTTACTATTTGCCATTTTTATTTATTTGCTTTCCATTCCTTAGCTTTACTGAGTGTATAATTGAAAATTTATGTGATTGTGATATTTTGATATATGTATACATTGTAAAATACTTACCAAAAATCAAACTCATTTACATATCCAATATTTTATATGGTTCTGAGTGTGTGTGTAACTGATGAGACACACCTGTCCCTTAGTCCTTTGTATAACGATGTTACTGCAGAATTACCTTTCTAGTAAGTCATTTTGAATAGCTATGTAACTGTCCAGAGCTATCTCACATAGAATAGACACTGCGGTGATACTCAGTGCTCACGGTCAGATATGACTAAACAGTGCCTATTCAGTGTCAAAAAGCTGAAGAGAGAGTAGAAAATTCTATTAAAGCTGGATTGTAAAATGGAGAGAAGAGGAAAATAGGGATTTTGCTTCAGTGCCACCATCTACCTTAAAAATTCATGTTATACTAAGAGATTTTACCCATTATTATTATGGAAAATACCGTGTTAAACTCCAGGCAAACAAATAATAAGGAACTAATGTTTGGAATACATGTTATGAAAAAGCATCTTTCCTTGGGAACTTCTTGAAATTAGTATAAAGAACAGTCAAAGAAAAAATGCTGTGCTTAAGATTTTGTAAAATTATGCATTAAAATATCCCCAAATTATAAGTCTATTAAAGATGTAATTCCATTCTGAAATTCTAGTGCCACAAACTTGGTTTTGTGGTTTATTATGTCACAAGAAACCATTTGTAGAATCATAGAGTTATTCAGTTGTGGGCACATTTGCTCGTCACTTTTTGTTGAGGCATCATTTTTGTGACTACCAGAAAGTTACATGAGCTGGATGCTGGTTTTGCTTTATCAGCATCATTATTTACACTGTCAATAAACACAAAGTTCAGAGGAACAGGTCTTGGGCATACAGAAACAGAAGGGGTTCAGAAGGAGTCAGAGGGGTACAGGGGATAATAGGGGGTACATGTGATCAAAATACATTATGTACTTGTATGAAATTGTCAAAAATAAATTTTAAAAATTTAGTCCATAAATTAGGAAAAATAGGTCTCGAGTCAACTGTGGGTGAATCCTTAAAAAAAAAATCCCCATTCTGCTTAAACTATTGAATTGTCTTACAGAATAGCATTCTGGATGCTGCCTCCACCAGCTCCTATTTTTATTCTTGCCTTACTGACTTCCCAAGCTCTGGCCTGTGCTCATATTTTGAGAAGACGTTAAGAACCAACTTGGACCAAGATGCAAAGCTCTGAGCTTCCTTACTCTAGAAAGCTGGAAGGGTGTTCGGAGGGGACAACAAGGTAGGGCTGGATCTGGAAGACTGGATCTGAGTTTCACATTACCCAGTAGTCAGCAGGGCATTCATGGGCAAAGCGTCAGAGGAGGGGAGCTGCTGCCAGCAATTTATAGTTCAGATGCGCCTTCGCTCCTCAGTCCACAGCATCCATTTTGCTTACCCCAAATTTAAAGACAAACATGAATGGCTAAATCCTTATACAAATTTTAACATACACAACAACTGAAGTTTTCTTCTAAATCTACCAAAACAAAAGGGTCAAAAAAGCCTTTGAGGGAGGCTGGAGAGATGGTTCAATGGTTAAGAGCACTGGCTGCTCCTGCAGAGGACCTAGATTCTGTTTCCAACAATCACATGGCAGCTAACAATCATCCATAATAACTCTAGTTCTAGGGGGTCTGATGCTCTCCTGACCTCTGCAGGCATTGCATGGCATGAGTGGGTGCACTTACATACATGCAGGCAATACAGCCATACACATAAAATAAAAATAATAAAATTTTAAAAGTGTTTGAAATTCTGGCTGTCTTATTGGAAGTCATTGCCTACTTAATAAAAAGCAAGGGCAAAGGAGCTTAGATCCCACCAACAGAGAAACTCAATTTTGAAGCACAGTGCTAATCAGAGCTCAAGCATAAGGAAATGGGATAAAGTGGGAAAACAGTATGATGTATAATTGACCAAGTCACACAAGATGCAAGGAAATCACTTCCAGGGTCCCCATGATCCCCAGCCCTCTTTTGCACCATATATTTTATGTCTCAGAAATTGAACTTATATACACATTGTGTCTCAAACTGATGAGTTTCTCTTTGAAACCAGCAGATGGTTTTCAATAACCCTTACCTAGAGATATTGTCAGGTGAGCAGGCAGAGATGCTGGTTTCCATGCTATCGGAGCTGTCCAGGCTCAATGTGTCAAAGGCCTGGTCCTTGTAGCTGTGATCTGGATAATGGAAACTATTCAAGTAGACATTTGACTCAGATGCCGTACGGTTGTAAAATTCAGGTTTCTGTCTTTGTCCTTCACTCATCTGTTGGTGGTTATAACCTAAGGAGAGAGCCATAAATACGTAAATTTGTCTCATTTATCAATTTTAGAATCTCCTAAGTCTACAGACTCAAGCCAGTAACCAGAAACATCTGTATGTGAATTTGGGCCTTGATCTAATGTATTTTGAAGCAAAGAAGATCAAAGGAACAATGCCATGACCAGGGTAAGCAAGAGTTTGAGAAGAGTGGTCATATGAGGGATTTTATTTATCAGTGGACTAACTTGGCACTTCTTTAACCCCATTCCTACAACTCACACAAAAGAGAGAAATATATATATACATTTACACACACACACACACACACACACACACACACACACACACACACACACCAGAAACACAAAAGTTTTGAATCCTCTTGAATAAAGCTGTGTTCAAATGAAGGCAAGCTGGTGCCTAGTGATAAGTGATGCAATGTCATAGGGCAGTCACCTTCAACAGCATTCAAATTTCAGGAGCCTTTGATCTGCTCACAAAACAGCAAGTGGTTCTTTCAGGTGTAGGGGTTGAGAAACGTATTTGTAACTATCTGTAATATTTTCAATCTGGGTAAGATCCAAACTGCTTTTGTCTTCTTTCTATTCTTTCTCTCTTCCTCCTCCCCTAATTTCTCTTGTCTACCAATTACTTACTTAAAACATTCAGGGTCAGCAATCCTTCCCAAGCTGAGCTCCCCTACTTGCTGTGAAGCTAACACTTCTTTTCCCACCTTAACAACCAGTCCTTTGCTAGCTGTTGGTAACTGAAAATGTCAATAGGTTCAAAAGTACCCTAAACAAAAAGTGTTTTCTTTCCCCTGGTACCCGATAGCTGGCATGTCAGGTCATTGGCTTATCCTGTGTTGTTACAGCTTTAGGTATTAAAAAAATCAAGTTGTTTCCTTTCAGTTTTGGTTTTCTTTTTTTTTGGTCGTTTTGAGACAGGGTCTCCCTGTAGCCCCAGCTGTCCTGGAACTTGCTATGTAGATACATCAGGCTGGCCTCGATCTTATAGAGATCCACCTTCTTCTGCATCCCGAGTGCTGGAATTAAAGGCATGTACCACTATGCCTGGCTTCTTTTTAGTTCTTTATCATAGGCACAGGAAGGTGGAATGGAACTGACAAATCCTTAAATTCATTTAAAAGTTCTTCATAATTTGTGTTTTCTCCCAAGAAGAGAAAAATCTACTTCTCATTCCCCAGGGAGTTAATACCAGACCTATGAAAAGCTTACAAATAGATTACTTAAATGTTGCCTCTTCTCCTGGTCACTTTCAATGAGGTTTTTAATTTGTTAAAAAATGGTAAAAAAGAGGCAATAGGAAAGAACAAAAAGAATGAGGGAGGGCAAGGGAAAGGACGGGGGCGGGGAGAAAGAGAGAGAGAGAGAGAATTCCAAACAGCTTCCTCAGTTGTCAATTTAACATTTCTGTTTAGAAATAGGAATCTCATCCATGTCTTAACAAAGCAACATCCGCCCAAAAGTTCTATAAAGTGATGTTAATTACATGCAAATTGTGATGTATTAGTATTTGGTATAGTTTATATATGTATGCAAAAAATGTGTTATATATAATCAGCCATTATAAGTTATAGATACATATATATTAAAGTCACATATTACTGAACTAGGGAAAGATGCAAAGCATCAAAGCACTCTGTAAGACCAGACAGAATATTCTTAACAGCAGTGATCAATGCATATGACATGACGTGAAGCCAGGGCATTCAAAGTATACAGCTCATGTCACTTTTTTAAAGAAAGGAAAAAATCACATCACTCACATATTTACATTTTACACTTGAACTTTTGGAATTATTAATTGTTCCTTTTAAATCATTTTCAAATTTTCATTATGAAAAAAAGGAACAATGACAACAGAAATCATTTGAAAAAGCTACAGATGTGTATTTCCTCATGATTTCTAGAGAAAGTTACAGCACAAAAAGCATTCACATTGGTGTCAACACATGGAAGACGTGTCATTGTCTTATGGAAAACAAATCCCTGAAAGACATTGGTGTAACTTAAAGCGTATAAGAATTATGTCCCTGGCAGGGACTTTCTACTCCAATCATCCCATTAGCGTTCTCAACTGAGGAAAAGCCAGTCTTAAGGAGAAATTAACTGCTTCCTAAGGCCGAAGAAAGAAGGTTCTCACTCTTCTTAAACAGCATGACTTGCCTCTCCAATCTTACAGAGTTCTTGGTTTGGTTTTGTCTTCTTCAAAAGTATCACAGAATAACAAAATGAACTTATAACCCTCGGTTGAGACAGGCAGGTAACGACTTAGCTCAAAATTTTTGGATTGGTGCACAAGGGACAATCATGTCACAATGTGCTAAGGACTGTGAGCATCAACTCCTCAGACCATCGCAATATTGGTTGAGGTTTAACCCCATGCTAAGGGACTCTTCCAGATACTCCAAATGTAACCCTAACCCTAACCCTACGGTGCTTATCCACGGCAACTCGAATGGCAAAGCCTGTGGCTACTGAACCTCTGTTTCCAAATGCAGGATTTTTGTTTCTGATAAATCCAGGGTGAGCAGGAACTCTCACTTTGCCGACAGCTACGCAATGCTGCCAACTGTCAACCCTTGTTTGAACCCAGCTGTCACCTAGCATGGTTTCTCTCTGCTGAACAAATGTAAACAAAAATGTTATCTTGCCATTATAATAAGGGCATGAGCCTGGCATGATGGTACACAGCTGAAGTCCCAGCACTGAAGAGGCTGAGGCAGGAGGATTGCTGTGAGGTCCAGGCCAACCTGGGCTATATAGTAAGGCCTTATCTTTAAAAAAGCAAATCAATCAATGAATAAGAGAAGAGATCTCTCCCTGGTGTCAGTAGAATTGCACTTGTGTGATTCTGAAGAGCTGGCCAGGGGATTTGGGCTCAGATCTGACCATCCAAGCATATGGATACTTCCAATAGAGGAAAGACCACAGCAAAGCAGGGACTGAAAGAGGAACTGGTGGAGGTTCAAGAACTGCTGCCCCAGGGCAGCTTCAAACAGGCCCAAGCACCACTCGGAAGTTTAGTCAGCAAGACACTGGCATCCCGTTCACTGCAAAATCCCTGGTTATTTATCACAGAGGTATCACAAAATAGTCACTGAATGAATTCATTTTTCATCTATAAATTCCAACTATCTGAGTGCCCAAATAAGGCAGTGGAATGCATCTACTCTGCAGGGTGGGGCAAAGGAACTACGTTGGGAAATATGAAACTTTCTCAACTCAAATCTACTTGGTTTTGTTTTTATTTTTTAATTATATAGCAAGAATAATGTTCAGCAGGGTAAAAAAACTTCAAAAAAGATCTTGAAAATATGTTGTCTTTCCTAAGCTGACAGATAAACGTGTGGCTTGTAAGGTCTACAAAGCAAGCTCTCCTGTCTGAGACTTGTCTCATAGCCTGTGCTCTATAGGGAAATCACTGGCTTATGGGGATAATTCAGTTCTAGCCATTAGCCAGGAGGCACAAGGCCAAATTATTCTCTTTAAAATTTTTTTCATTTCCCTCCCTTAAACTCACAAAGATCCACCTGCCTCCGCCTCCGATCTCTCTCGAGTATTTTGCCTGCATGTATGTAAGTGCAACTATGCATTCAATGCTTTGATCAATCACTTGGAACTGGAGTTGCTAATGGTTGTTTGCATCATGTTGTTGCTGAGAACTGAACTTGTGTCCTCTGCAAGAGCAGACAGTGCCCTGAACCACTGAGCCATCTCCCCAGCTCCCAAGCTATTCTTATTTTAAACGGCAATCTCATGAATTCTGGCTAATTTGACCCCAAAGTCCTTTTGCGAATTAACTACTGTGAAATATATTTAAAAAATATATATATCCCAAATGTGTATTATATACGTTTATATGGCTATCTGGGTCTTAATATAGAAAATGAGGTGATTGAAAACTATTATCTGAGCTTAAGAAGATAAAGCTAAGCAGCATTTCTGACAACGTAGCCTATCACAGCTCACCTGCTGAGGAATTCACTCTTCCTAATGACAGTCCACAGCCAGAATAGGAGGGCAAAGTCAGCATGAAGAGGAACAACAGAGAAAGGGAAAAAGACACAAGGTCAGAAAGGCTGACGAGGGGAAAAACAAACATCCACCCGCCATGCAGCCTCTGAGGTATTAGTAACAATATCAGATGAACAGAAATGACAGTCACATTTTCAGATTCACTCTAAGATGAAAGGGGAAAAAAACTGAAAAAGTTAAAAAAAAAAAACCCAGCCTCATGAAGCATGCATAGTTAGTTTAAAAAAAGAAAAAGAAAAAGAAAAGAAAGAAAAAGAAAGAAAAAAAAAAAGACTTTCTATAAGGGAAAAATTTTTACACATATTCACCAACCAGAAAATAGGAAAAATACATCTACAAGAGCATTTTTTTTCCCCAGACAGTAACAAATAGTATTCAAGAATTTAGAACAAAAAAATGTCACTTAATTGTTTGACTCACATGAAACTTTGTAACAAATTCTCTAACGTGCTATACCTAACCTCTGGAACAACAATCTTACTTATTCAAGCCAGGCATTTAAACTTTTCTTCACACTCCCAAATATTCTTTACAAAATAAGCTTAAATGGAATGAATTCATAGCGATTTCTTAAATCCAAATCCTTCTAACCTGTCACTTGCCTTATTTACTTATACCTGACCTTAAAAAGGAAAAACATCTAATTTATGCTGGGCCTGCATATGATGCTCACTCTAGTGTGGCTCCTGAGCCTTACAGATCAACGCTTTCACAGCATTTGTGTTTCCTGCATGGTCTGAACTTGTTATAAAATAGCCAAAAGAGGGTCATGCAACTGCCTTCGAAGGCACAGCAGCTGCCCAGCATGGTGTTTCTTAAAACATGCAGCAGTTTTTTTCTCTGTTACGCAAAAGAAATCATCATTAGACTTAAAATTCACCACAGCAAAGTTTAAAATCAGATCAGTTGTTAAAGATGACTTGACAATGACCTTTCGATATTTGCTAGAAACAAAAAACACCACACAAGAAGGTTTCATACCTTTCTTGAACTTTCCTGCATTTAACAACAACAACAAAGGATAAAGATTTCATTCATTCTAAAGCTTACAAAGAACAGTTGACAAGCTGTACAAAAGCAAATGATCACTGTAACTTCCAGGGTTCAGTTCCTTAGCCCTCTGCTTTAAACTTGGCCCCTTTCAAGGTTCTTTGTATGATTCATATTGTCAACACTATGAAAACAGTGCTGATTAAAGGAGGCTTATACTTACACCATCATCCTTGACGTGTCCATTATGAGTAGCAGCAAAAAAATGATGCATGTGAGTTAATCATGTATGTAAAAATAAATGATAACGTCTACTAAATTTGAGTTAATGAAAATGTAACAGGCACAGTGCTTTCAAAACTTGGTCATTTTAATCTCGGAATTTTAATGAAGTCAACAAACGCTGGTGAAACAACTCTAAGTGAATTTATGATTCACCCTTCCTGGTCTTTGTGAGATACCCATATGGACTTCGTATAAACTCCTGCCAGTTTTACCATCTGTGGTGGCTCTAAGAACTATCATCCACGACCACTCTTCATCTGGGAAGAGGAGTGGGCTGAGCTGCTAGGACACAGCTCCTGGATCAACACATGGCTCCGTTTCTTCAGACCTGTCACATCCTAGTTCCATGAAGCTCTAAGCAGAACTCCACTTCAGAAGTGCAGCAGACTGAAGCCGCAGTCTTCTCAGAATATGAAAGATGCACCAACAGAGAAGAGCCAGAGACACCCAGACAGGAGATTTTGCATAGCTAAATCCATAATACGACCTCAGAGGACTGGCTTAGGTTTTCCTTATAAAGCTGACAAGAGGTGTCCCATTATTTGGGGAGAAAACAGATCTGCCATTCCGTAGTTTCATCATCTTCTTACAAGAATCCTGTTAAATGATACTGTTAACAGTTCTCAGTTTTTAAAATATTTTTATTTATTATTTTTATTTTATAGGTATGAGTGTATTGCCTGCGTGTGTGTAAGCACACCCATGCTGTGCAGTGCCCATGGAGGTCAGAAGAGGGCATCAGATTCCCTGGAACTGGAGTGACAGATGATTGTTAACCACCATGTGGATGCTGGGAACTAAACCCTGGTCCTCTGCAAGAGCAGTAGTGCTCTTAACTGTTCAGGCATCTCTTCAACCCCCAACAGACCTCAATTTTTACAAATCTACTCATTTAATCATTTAGTACAAAGGTCCACTTTTTCCTTGCTCTCAAAATTTTGAAAAAATACTTTCAATACAGAGCATAATCATTTCTGATCTGGCCTCCTCTCGTCAGTGTTCAATCTTTCCTTAAATCACTGTAATGCATAAAGCTCATGAATATGCTAGACATTCTCAGTTGCCCAGCCAATCAGGCTTGGATGTCCTCCACCAGCATGAAATACATGTTTAAAAGGAACCCTACTCATGACAGAAAAATGCTACAACAGAAAATAGACTTGACCTTCAATTTAGCAGTTATAAATGAGAACCAAAATACTCACTTATGCTTAATATTGTGACTACTAAGAAATATTTTAGTTTATTAAGAAATTATAATAAATAAAGAAGTCAAAGTAAACCTCTCATGTACACTATAACCTCCCTTAACCATTTTTACTATGTATCCCAGGCTGGCCTTGAAATCCTGGATCCTCCTGGCTCTGCCTCCTCTGCCTCTCTCCTGAGTGCTGGGATTATAGGCATATACCATCACACCTGGCTTCATTAACTCTATTTTTCAGAGACAAGATTTCACTACATAGCTCAGGCCACCCTTAAACTTGTGATCCTCCTACCTTAGCCACCTGGGTGCTAGGAATACAGGTGTATATTACCCAGCCTAGCTCCATTAATTCTTTAAATCACCTCTAGTAATGATTTAAAAACTTCATCCTAGTGCTATGTCACATACACATTATGTATATATAAACTTATTCATGTAAATGTTATGCATATGTAACATATATAGGTCTTTTTTTAAGAGAAAAATCAGTGATTATCTCCTATTCTGAGAGGAGAGGCTTATCAATCAGAATTTAATTTCACCTTTCACAGAGGGAAAAATTTTAATCCATCAACATATGAATACATTTGATGGTCCAATGTCTGCCCTCCTACCAGCTTCTCCCTTTACATCCTCAGCATACACACCTCCATCATTATGTTTGACATTTGTGATGGATAGCTTTAGTGTCAACTTGACACACCTGGGTTGAGGGAGCCTAAGTTGGGGAGTTGCCTCTATTAGACTGGCCTGTGGCCATGTCTGAGGGGCATTTTCTTGATGAGTGATGTGGGAGGACCCAGCTCACTGTGGGTGGTGCCACCCCTGGGCAGGTGGGCTTGTGTTGCATAAGAAAGCAGTCTGAGTGGGGGCCAGGGGAGCAAGCCAGTAAGCAGCATTCCTCCATGGCCTGTGCTCTAGCTCCTGCCTCCAGGTTCCTGCCCTGAGTTCCTACCTTGGGCTCCCAGATGAACTATGACCTGGGATATGTAAGCTAAATAAACCCTTTCCTCCCCAAGTTGGTATTGGTCAGAGTATTTTGTCACAGCAATGAAGAAAGAAACGAGAACAGAACTTGGTACCAGGAGTGGGGTATTGCTTTGACAGACCTGATCTTGCTGTTTTGGGGAGGACTGTGGAAGTGTTTGGATCTTTGGACCGGAAAAGCCATTGAGTGCTTAGAGTTTGTTGCTGTGGAGCTTGGGGGTTATGCTGAAAGACTTGTGGGCAATAGAGGCCTGGCTTATGAAGCTTCAAAGGGAAGCAGAGACTATCAGGGCTGTTCGTGTGAGATTTTTGGATTGAGAATCTGTGGGTTCTGGTTGGCTGGGGCTGAAGAATCAGCTGTGATTAAGTAGAGACCAGAACCTGAAGTAAAACCTTTGCTTTACTGGGACAATTGATGCTGATTAGCTGGGGCTGCAAAATCAGATATAAGTACCAAGAGACCAGCATCACTGAGGTGAAATCTTCTGGGAGGCATTTCCTCAGGGTCAGCACACAGAGGGGACCCGAACCTCTGTCTCTAGTTGGAAGCAGGACTTGGTAATGTGTAAGAGTCTCCTGCATGGTTCTGATGTTGAAAGCGTGAAGGGGTCACAGAGAGCAGCTGAGGCTTGGCACTCTGAGAGGCCAGGAAAGGCCATAGGTGAAAGTGCAGCTTCAGTTGCAGATAAGACCCCAGGATTGAAGGGCCCATGGAGAGAATCTGAGGCTTTCCACCACAAGAGGCAAGAAGAAACCATTGAAAGTGTAGCCACAGTTTCAGTAGAGACCCAACTTTTTGGAGATGCCAGGACCATGGGACAACCACCAAGGACTGCAGAAAGTGTGGAATGGAGCTGCCTGGGTCTGTGAGACAAGCTTTGTGTGCTGTGGACGGCAGTGTTAGAGAAGTGGAGCTGCCAGAACCCTTTGGAGGCCAGAAGATCATGAGTGAATCCCAGATGTCTAGCCTTGATCTACTTTGCTGGTCTTTGGTTTTGCTTAGGTGTGCCCAATTCTTCCCTTTGAAATAAGACAGTACTTGTTTTGGATTTTACAGAAGCCCACAGTTAAGAGACTTTTAAAAGAGACTATGAACTTTTAAGTGTTTGGATTTTTTAAGGGCTGTGGGTTTTTAAGGTTATACTGTCTTATGTTGTGATATTAACATATCTTGGGAACAGAAATTGGAAAGTTGTGGTTTAATAGCGATGTTTGTGTGTCAAGTTGACAAGGGAAGCCTGGTTGGCAATGGAGACCCCAAGAAGATCGTGATGCCAGAGCTGTGAGGCATTTTCCAAGAAGATCTGCAAACTGGGAATGGTACCAGCACAAGAGAGATGTGTGTTGCATGCAGCAAAGCTAGAGAGGCTGAGCCATCTAAGCCCTTTGGAAGTAAAGTCTCAGAAGCTGGACATGGAGCTACTGGATTTGGTGTTTGCCCTGCTGGTTTTCAGTCTTGTTTTGGTCCGGTATTTCTTTACTATCCCTCCATTCCTCCTTTCTGGAATGGTAATGTGTATTCAGTTCCACACATTGGGAGTATGTAATTTTTCTTTTGATTTTATAGAGGCTTACAGTTAAGATATTTACCTAAGTCCACTTTGGACTGTGGACTTTTGAATAGTACTGAGACTGACAATGACTATGGGAACTTTTAAAGTTGGACTAAATGTATTTTGCATTTTATATGGTTATGAGCCTATGGGGGTCAGGGGGTGGAATGTGATGGTTTGAATGAAAATGTCCACCATAGGCTCCAAGTATTTGGACATTTTTGTCCCCACATGGTGGCGCTGTTTTGGGAGGTTTTAGAAGGTGTGACTATCCTGGAGGAAGCATGTCACTGGGGGTGGGCTTAGAGAGTTCTTAAGCCTTTCCAGATCTCCAGCTGTTCTCTTGTTTCCTGTGCCTGCTAGAAGATGTAGAACTTAGCTTCCACTAGTCTGCCACCATGCCTCCCTCCCAAGACAGACTGTAAATCCCCTGGAACCGTAAGCTCAAATAAATTCTCCCTTCTATAAATTGCTTGGGTCAGTGTTTCTATCACAGCAACAGGAAAGTGACTAATACAATATTTTATTGAAATCATCTATTGTGTACTTCTTCTTTCCTCACTAGACTATATGCATTTCAAAGGCAAGGATCATGCATTCCTTTGTATTCTTGGTATCTAACTGAAATCTGTTTAAAAGTTAAGTCTAGCATAAGTTGTTGGTGTAAACAATGTACTAATACAATACTTTCCACAAGATTCTTGCTTCTGGAATGAAATTATAGCAATTTCTTTCAGTCTCCCATAAAGACTATTATCATAACTCTATTATATATCTAATTATGTGCTGTTGTGAAGAAAATATACTGTGAGTCAAAGTCTACCTGAAACCTAAATACACATAAAACGTCTCAAGCCTACATCAAAAAAAGAGTCATAGAAATTCTGTTCTGGGCCACTAGGGTCCCATTAACAGTGTCAACTCATTGACTCTGCAGCACAAAGTTCATTTAACACTGTGTCTCAGCCGCAGACAAGTGATCTTGTTTAAGTGCCCTAGAAATTTCCCTGCATTTCAGTGGTCTCTCTTCTTTCTATCAATCAAATAGGAAGATGAGTCATTTTCTCAAGGCCTCTCTGATTTGAAAGAGTTATTGAATGTATAAAGTATAACAAGTATGTTTAAAATGCACCTGCTATGCATGTAAATAAGAAGTATAACCTCAGTAAAATAATGTATACACATCTTTCCCTCAAATGGAACACAAAAAGAGTAAAATATAGGACTTCAGTTGATCTCCCCCCTAGTACTCCCAGATGTATTCTCATTTGTTCTTCTTAGGGAATTCTGAGACAGAGGACCACAGCATGTGATATAGAAGTACATACCTCTGAGCATCCTCCGAGACTCTGAGTCCTTGGTCATGGTTGCCAATGAGTGAGGGAGCACGCTGCCACAGCTGTTGCTCTGCCCCAGAGGCAGGTGAGTCTATGAGAAGCAGGACAGAATACTTCAGGCAAAGCAAACTGCACACCGAATGGCACTCCAGGACATGGCCAAACCCCTGTTTTCAAAGCTCCTATCTAAGTACAGAGGGCAAAGATGGTTGGTCTTTGTGTCCCATTTCTCAGTGTCAAGTAATAAAGGCAGGTCACAGTCTCTCCCAAGATGCTCCACAGCAGTCTCAGCATCACAGTACTTCCTCCAATAGCAACAATTCCAAAAGGGAAGACTTTTGGGGAAAGACACTGTCCACAATTGTGCAAGAATGACTAAAAGCTCTTCATGCAATAGGAGCAGAGGGCAGATGCGGGGACAGGAATGCATGCACACCATGCAAAAAGATAGGCACAAGTTGCACTTGTCCAATGCTGCCGTTTCCTTCTACTCTCAGCTATGCAGAAACCCAATGAGATCCCACTGGTTTTAGTATTCTTTTTGTTTCTTTGTTTTTTGAGATTTGGTCTTGTTATGTAGTAGTTCAGCCTTGCTTCAAACTCATACTGATCCTCCTGCAGCCTCCTAAATGCTGGGACTGTAGGTGTGCACCACCATGCTCAGCTCTTACTCTGTTTAAGTAGCAGTATCCTTTATGTAAATAAAGTACACTTAAACACCAATTTATAAACCAAATTAAAACAAACTTACTCTAGTTGTGGTTAAGGGTAGCACCAAAGGTCCACCCCATTAAAAACCTCCCTTTCACTCCCCGCTTCCTGCATTTCCACAATGACCCATTGGACATGTCAGCAGAACTGAAGGAAGGCGCAGTTGTCAGGTCAGGAAGGTTCATATTCAGGCTCCACTAGTTACTAGCTGAGGGCTCCTGAGTCATCACTTAGCTTCTTCCACCTCAGTTTATCCATGTGTACAACTGGAGTCATGATTAGCATGCACCTCTATTGCATAGTGCTGCTATGTTCACATAAAGGGCTAAGCCCAGTGCCGTGGATAGAGAAATGACCCCAAAACTATTTGGTGCTGTTATTCCAGGACCTCCAAGCCTATGTCCTATCTGGCTGCTAAATCTGGATGCAGCCTGGGGCATCTGTCCTATCAGTTAAAATCATCTGTACTGTGGTGCTAGAAAAGAGCTGGGGTTATGTTCTTTGGAATAACCTCCATATAGGACAGAAAAAAGCAATTTAGTTATGATTTCTTCTCAACAAGCAAATTCAATGGTGTGTTATTTAGCGTTTCTATAGTTTAAAGGTTTTGCCTTTGTCAGTATACACAACAAAGAAATTTGCGGAAGAAGATTCCTGGCTTTCCGGATCATCCTACCTTTGGGGCCGCACTTCTCCCCATTGTAGCACTGCTGAAGTGTGGGGAGATGGAAGGTGTGGTTTTCTTTCGAGGCAAAGTATCACTCAGATAGAGGCCTTCTTTGTGCTGTTTTTTCCTTTCTTCCAGGCTTCTAAAGTGCTTTAAATGCAAATGCAAAGTAAAATAGCAAAACTTGACTAACCGAAACAGATCACTGAAGCAGTAAGAAGTAAGGAACTCACTTCAAAGAAGCTTTGGAATTTTAACTCTGAAATGTCTCTTTCACTTCCACCTTATCTTTGTGTCCACTAACCGATCTGGGTTAGCATTTGATGGGACCAGACAGTGGGAACATGTATTACTAAACTAAAACATTTTTAAAAGCCGCCTTTTACTTCTGTAGTGCTGCTGCCTTGGGTCTTAACCCAACTGACAAATTATCATGGTTGCTGTCTTTAATGTGATGGTCCCACTATGTGGATGGTGGATCAGCCAGTGGCCAAAGCAAGTCAATAATTCCCTACTCTTTTGTCTGTCTAGAGGGTTCTGTGTTGTGGCCCAGGTCCCAGTGGGGTGGACAAGAAGTAGGAAATGGAAGACAGTGACGAGAAAGGGCAAGTAACAGTAGAGTTGTGTGAAAGCAGTAATATCACTTATCACATTAATACAGTCCAAACCCACTTGAAGTTTTCGTAGAAGGCATCCTTCTAACTTACTCTTCCATTTTAAAAGATCTTGGCTAAAGAGATCCTATAGCAATCTCTCATATTTAAAAAATGCTCCAGTAGACAATTTCTTTTCTTTTTCTTTTTAAATTGAAAATCCAAAACCAGACTTTTGCCACCTAAAAAGCTATCCATATTTTGTTTGGTCCCTCCACGTTCCCTAAAATGTCTTTCATAGTAAAATGACTTCCCAATAAAAGATCCTTCGGTTTAATCATTTCGATATTAATCTCAAGCTTTTGAAAAATATAAAAATTAATGCATGCCAATGATGACAGACATTTACACTTTAACTTTATAATTGTAGATTTCTAGTAGCCTGGTTTTGTTTTGTTTTGTTTTGTTTTTTTTTTTTTTTTGGTCTTTTTGAGACAGGGTCTCCCTGTAGCCCCAGCTGTCCTGGAACTCACTATGTAGGCCAGGCTGGCCCTGAACTCACAGAGATCTGCCTGTCTCTGTCTCCGAAGGGCTGGGATTAAAGGCGTGCGCCACCATGCCTGGCTATAGTAGCCTACTTTTTAAGAGCTTCTGCTGTGCAGGGTTGGATGCTCCACATACATTATCTTCTTTAATTTATGTAATAATTCCATGAGGTTGGTATTCTGTCTCTATTAAAAGCAAAGAATCTGGGGCGCAGAGACATTAAATAAACTTGCCAAAGGACATGTGGTTAGAAAGTGTCAGAGCTGAAATTCACGGCCAGGTGAATGCCATAATAAAACTTCAAAATTTGATTGAATAATTGCTGATTTTAGTTAAAAAAAATGGCATTAAGTCACTTTGGTATTGTCCTCAGTGTGACCAAATTTCATGAACTGTGAAAATCAAAGCTTCCCAATATTTTGTGATAAGAGCTTAATTAAGTAGGTAAGAATCCCTGTTGAAAACAAGTCGGTTAATATTTGGAACAAAAGAGCATGTTTGAAAACTGATGGTTTTACAACCAACAGTGTTGTTGATCGTGAATGAAACTGCCCATGAAATTAACATTACAGGAAGTAAAAGGTATTCGGTTCTTTCATTCTCCAGGTTCTTCTCTTGTATACATCCCTTATTTGATTTACCTCTTTCAATGGTTCCCTTTTATACCAGCCCATGAGGCAGTAGCAGGAGATACAATACATTCCTTTTACAAAGGTGCTAGCTGCAAAGGCTGTGGATAATAAACCAGAACTCACACATTTTGAGGATCTAGTAACCATACAGCTGAGTTATGGAACGGATTTTGACTACCCGAGCATTAATATATACTATGTGTATTCAAAGTAATTCATTAGAATAATAAATCGTTTATTTAAAAATCTAGTCAATAAACATACAACTTGCCCTTGGACAAGTTCCTTCATTGGGCTGCACCTCAGCTCTCTAAGTCTCAAGCTGGAGATAATCCTTATGCTATAGAATTGTTAGAAGGATGAAAAGAATTGTAAAATGCTTAGCAAATTTGGACACAGCAACAGAATGATGTCTAGTATTATAGTTTCAATAATGTGTAATAAAACTATTGTGTTATCACAACTTTCTATACTATAAATTTTATGGAAATGCTTATTGACATATTGAGAAAAATATGAACCAGGTTGCAATATTGTGCTGAATGGGAGCTGAAGCATGAAGCTGTAATGTAATGAAACCTATTGAAAGCCAGGAGAGGACAATCAAGCTCTTCAAACTTGACTAGTCTCAAGACCCAGAGATTTTACCCAATGTTCTCAAGCGAAAATGCAAGAAAGCAAAATGGTATTCAACTTGCCTTTCTAAAACTCAGTCTTGGAAAAGTTGAAGAAGCGATTCTACATAAGTGACCTTGTTGTCAAGGTAAAATTCCATGCTGTGCGCAGACTTCCTACCTGTGGCTCCTGCTGCTGTTGCCTTCTGTGTTTCTTAGCTGGTAGAGGAGGAGGTGTGTCATTTAAAGGGAAAGGATCGACAGATGTAGCCATGGCTTCGGGCCAAGGGACTGACGAAAGTTGAGTGATAGGATGAGGAGAAAGGGTGGAAGGAAACACAAATCCAGAACAGACAGCTGATCTTGGCTTTATAGGAGAAAGAAAAGGTCTGTATGAAACATGTCCACATGAAAGGGAGTATAAGATGAGATAGGAAATCCATCATCTGATTGTTCTGTCTCATTATGTGTTAGCCAATAAGTCACAATGATGGGCAGTACCTTTCCATTTAGTCTCTTGTTAAAATCCTACACTGCAAGCAAGGAGATCAGATAAAGGTATTTCTAGAAGGCACTTCTCCCCATTAGCCAATCCCAAGAATGCTTTAAAGGCATAACATTAAAATAACCCATATTGCCATACAAAATAGGAAATGAAACCAAGCTAGGCAGGTGATTCAAACTAATGAGTTTAAAGGGCTTTTTAATTTCTAAGAAAACTAGGTTGGGTTAGCGTGCTAATGTATGGACTTCATCTGGTAGCAGTTACTTCTAGTCTTTCACTGTTAACACATTTTATGGTTTCTAACAGTTTTAGTGTAGAACAGAACCCCAAATTGGCATGTTTCATAAACTTGGCTTCACTCTGGCCCTCCAGCCAGACAGAACATACACCTTCATTTTGCTCATTTTCAGTGAACCGTGGGTTAATTTTTGACATGAGGAAAAGCAGTGAATGAATGAAACACATGCCCACACACCTCTGAACTCTGGGGCTGGCTCACCGGCACAGCAGAGGCAGGCTCAGTGACAGCAGCGTCAGCATCAGCAGGGAACTGAGTGGAAGAGGATAGATTCGTGGAATTGTCACATGACTCATTAATTTCATTTACACTGATATAGCCCTAAAAGGAGGAATTCAGACATTAAACACAAAGAAAGCAAAAGCTGAGGCATGCGAGGGTATTAATGTTCTCAGTATGATGGAGTTAGCTGAGTGCGGCACAGCCAGATACCTGTGCATTATCCAATGTCTCATTTAGTTAATGGTCAGCAATTAAAATGGGTTTACAGTGATTATTCTGCAAAAAATGCCGTTCCAAATAGTAAACATAATTTCTGATGAAATCAAAGTGACTATATGATAAATAATCCAACACATTCTATTTTAAAATCTCCAAAGGTATCGGTAATCATTCTGTGGATGGAATAATGTTATCTTTACACATACATTGAAGAGAATCACACGTTGAGATCCACAATTGACAATGCAATCATTCACTGTATTTCAAGAGTCTTTTCCACAAATCTTCACTCTCTTCCCCTCCTTTTCTTGACAAATAACAGTATCAGAAAAAGTGAGCTAAGGAATGCCTACTAGGTTTTACACTAATAAAACATTTATAGAAATAGTAATTTCTTTTAACGTGATTTAGTTTTAGGGCATCTCAACCAAGTAAGGATGAAAAGGACATGTACTTTAATTCCTATGCATACACACAGCCCTCAGTGGGGGTGCAGGTGGATGGTGTCATCGATTCAAGGCAGTTTCCTTAACTCCAACTCTTTTACTAGGACAGAGATATTTCCAGTTACTTCTGAACTCAGTAATTCAGTTCTGGCTGTGGCTTAGAGAAAATACCCACGACTCAAAATACCTGTGAATCAAAACTCATAAATTTATCTTTGTGGAAAAGGCACTTAAATTTTTTTTCATGAAAAGTAAATTTCACAGATCAATCATGATTTTTGCCCATCACGGAAATGATATGAAAAGAGAAAAAGTGTAAACAGCATCATCTTAAAAAGAGAAAGTGAGTAAAATTAGACTGTTGCATTCTACTTTTAGCCCATTAACTATGGAAACACCATTATTTCTTTCAAAAAATAACTCCAAAAAAGACAACATATTGTGATGTGATATTGTGGCAAAACCTCCAGACTGGAAATAAAAGGTCGAATGGACAACCTATCATTACAACAAAGTGGAGAAAGCTAAAGATGATGCTACAAATGATGTATTAAAGTCTCAGGTTTAGAAAGGGACCTAGATATTATATAAATTTTATATGGTTAAATTGAAGGAAGCAATGAATTGGGCTGTCCAATTTCATTTTATCTGTGATAATGGATCAGAAAGGAAATTAAAAAGCCTTGAGTTATTCTCTTGCTTAGCTGACAGAATGATTTAAAGGCAAGTTTTTTAAAATTCCTTTTATGGGTCATAGCTCATATAATTTTATTGCTTCAAAGAGTATGCTATTTGTCAAAAGTAGGTGTTCTTTAAAGAATTAGGCTATAACTTTATCATTCCTCAGAAGGAAAAAAAAGAGAGAAGATTAGAGAGAAAGCAAAAAGATATGAAAACAGAAAATCAAAACATTTTATAAGTCAAGAATTCCTGGTACAGGAGAACATAGAGATACGTGAGAAGCATACACAATTGGGCTCCACAGAATTGGCCCCAAAGCCAAAAGCACTTTTGACACCATGGAGTCTACAGAAAAAGCAAAGACCAACTCATCAATAGAAAAGGAATGATTTTAGTTTATCAAGACACAAAAAGGACTTAGAGCTCATGAAATTCAATTAGATGCCACAAGCCCTTCCCCTTAAGTGTACACAGGGTGAACTACCAGATCTTCCAGGTCGAACCTACTCTTCCCAGTCTTCCCCACCTCAGTGAGAGGCGCTCGTCATTGGCCTCGTTACTGAAACTGAAAAATGACATTGCTTGTGCACTCCCCTTTGTCTGTCCCATTCAGAAATCCAATGTACTAGTGAGAACTTTCGATTCTACCTGCAAATACGCACTCATCTAACTAACTTTCCATCTCGCTGCCATTGCTGGACTCCAAGCCCTGGATCCAAGCTCCAACCTACAGCAGTCACCTTCACACCAATTTCCCTGCTCCCCCTCATTCTTCTGACCCACTGTTCACTGAGTGGCCCAGAGTGGTCTTTAACAAACGGATATCAAATAATGTTATCTCCCTACTTAAAATCATTTAATGGCTTCCCAAAACATGTAAGATAAACTGCATTCATTAACAAGATTCACAGGGTCTACCTGATGTCTCACTGACATTATCCTATGCCAGTACCCTCCCTTTACAACCATTGTCTTTAATGCCAGTTATATGTTCCAAATAATGGAAATCATAAAACTGTATGATCTAACAAAGCAGTTGTAGAAATATTTTTTAAATGCTTCTGAAATACACATTTGGCCATACTTATTATTGTGATGAGAATTTTACTTTATATACCTGCACGTGTATACACACACACACACACACACACACACACACACACACACGCACACAGACCACAATCGTTTTCCAGCTAGGAATTCCTAAGTCTGCTTTCTTTACAGAAACAATAAATCCAAAGCAGTTATTGTGGTCAGGCAAGTTTTTATACAGAAGCAAGTTTTTCCCCTAAGTTTATAAGTCAGCATAAGAAAAGCGCCTTGATCATCAGCATTACACTTTTCCATAGCAGAGTTTAAATATTCTATCAGTGTGGCAATGCAGCTCTCTGAGGATATTCTGGGGAGGATGATATTGGGAAATAGAGCAGAATGGTAAGAGTATGCAAGGCTAATGGAAATGGGAGCTCCCAATGGACGGGAAATGAGAGAAAAGAAAGAAACTAGACTATCTTCTCAAACATTTGGAGGGTATTTCCACACTCTGTAAGACTCATAAGGAAAAAAGTAAGAAAGGAGAAAGAAGGCGAAAAGACGTTGAAGATGAGAATGCAAGATTTTAGATGATGCATTTTTTGAGACTTCGCATTACCTCACAATGTCACTATCCACACAAGTAGATGTATGTGTATATAAACACACAAATATGTGCACTACACACAAAAATAAACCATGGAATCCTTGAAGCATAAATAATGAAAAGCAAGAAACTCCTCAAAGCATTAAAGGCTTTTGCAAGTCATTTAAACTAAGTTTTTATTATTGGCTTATCACACAGAACCGAGGTGCATTTTCTGATCTACAAGCAGACTTGTAAAATCATAGCTTACCTCTTTTAAAGTGTTGGGGTTAACAGGAAACCCTTTCCCCCCAGTGAGGCTGGAATACTTCTTTTCCAAATTACAAAGATTCTCCTTTTCCTAAAGAAACACAAAATTGAAGTCAGCTTGAATGCAACTGAGAAGCACAATGACGTTGCATCAGAAACAAACATCAACATCACACATGCACACCATAAAGGATATGCAACACACTGTCTTTGGTCTAGGAAACTTTTTATGAATCACTTTATTTGGACAAAGGCCCATTGATTAGAAGGATCCTACGACTCCTCTAACCAAGATACATGGAGTGTCTCGAAAACCAGCTAAGTCAAACTAACTCAAGGTGACATTTATGAGGAAGACCATGCACAAACACATTCAAAACACTAGAGCACTTGAACCAAAATATTCAACAGCAGTAAAAAGAGGATTTTCCCTTAAAACTACCACAAATTGGTGTTAAAATATATTTTAACTGCTTGAAGAAAATGTGATTTTTTTTAAAAGGAAAATAGCAGAAAGTATAAATTTGCTATAGTTCATATTTTTAATGTGGAAAAAGTATGAAAACAACTTCCTTGCTTATGGTCTGAGTTGAAGATGATCAACCCAGAGTACTGTTTTGGGTGGGTTTTTTTTTTTTTTTTTATGTGTATAAGTGTATTGCCTGCATGTATATAAGTGCATCCATTTTATGCAGTGCCTGCAGAGGTCAGAAAAGGGTGTTGGATATCCTGGAACTGGAGTTATAGATGGTTATTAACCACCATGTGGGGCTAAGAATCGAACCCAAGTTCTCTGCAAGAGCAGACAGGGCTCTTAACCACTGAGCCATCTCCCCAGCCCCCAGAGTACTATTTTTAATGTAGAAAGTTACATAAAAAAGTGTGTACAAAAGGCTTCCTTGGAGTATAAAGGCATTACTTTGAAAGAGACAGCCTTCCCCAAGTTGGAAGCTATGCTTTACTGTAGCTGGTGCTGAACAGAAAATACTTACTCTTTGGAGCATCATTATTAAATTGTTCTTTTCTTTCACAAAGTGATCTTGTTCCCTTTGAGCCTGCTGAACAATGTGACTGGCTTGCTTTTTCAGTGCAGAAATTTTTTCCTGGAAGAAAAAAAGTTATTAAAGAAAGAAGCACACTAGATATTCAAAAATATGTCAGTTTGTCCTGGGCAAGGAAGAAAAGGGTCTTTAGAACTGCAATAACAGTGACCACATTTTAGTTGGCAGTTGGCAGTGGACCACCCTCATTACCTAGAAGCTAAAAAGCATTACTTTGACCTACCAAGCTCACCTTTCTTTACTTAAGGTCAATGCAGTTGAAGTGACTTAAAAACTATCCTGAGAGCCAGGTGTTGTGGCACACGACTTTAATCCCATCACTGGGGAGGCAGAAGCGGGTGGATCTCTGGGAGTTCAAGGCCAGCCTGGTCGACATAGTGAGTTCCAGGTCAGATGGGTTACAGGGAGACCACGTCTCAAAAAGACAAAAATAAATAAATAAATAAACAAACAAACAAACAAAAACTATTCTGAAAGACCCAGAAGTCAAAAGGAAATCTTGAATCAGTCTATCAATTAATTTTTGACATGCTGATGAAAAAATAGCAATGGACGTTCTCTTTTAAACTGAGAGCTTAAGCTTTCTCTTTCCTTCCTTTGCTCACTTTTATTAGGTTAGTACAATGTTCTAGTGTATAATTCTAAATTCTGGAACAAGGGCTGAATTCTGGGCTTGGGCATGTAGTTTTGGGACTTGATGAAGTTCATAGCAATCTGAATGACTTTCTACTGGGCTGTTGCTAATGGTAACAAGCACTCAGTCAGCTTTGGGAACTGTTAAGCAATGGAAACAGCAAATTCAAAATAGATTTTGTCATACTTACTCAAAATCTAGTTATTGCGACCGCCAAAGGAAGTGATTTAAAAAATACCTGATTTATGAGTACAATATTGTATAACTGTAATAATTCAACTGTAAACCTAAAAATTAACAGCCAATTTTGAAAGAGCATCCTACCTCAGGAAAACATTATTGAATATGTCAATTGTGTTGTAATGATATGCTTCTTCTAAGTATGTTGTTATTAAATAAATCATTTTTAAAAATTTTAAAAAAAATACCTGATTTTCTATGACTTCATTTTTATGTGAATAAAAATGGGTATTATTCATAAATATATCTATAGCATTGTAGCAACAACCATACCATGTCTATCTCAGAGCAACATTTGCCATTTATGTTGCAGGCCAACTGTGATGTGATTAAACACATAAAGATACTCAGATACAGTCACAGTCCACAGCTGTGTGGATGATCATCATTACTATCACTTAACTAGTAAGAAATATTGATTTTCACATCAAGCATCACCTGGCAGATTACCTTTCTAGTGACAATGTTCCGTTGATATTCTGCCACTTCACGAAGCAGCTGTTGAGTTAAGTTCTCCTTTTCTTCATCCAGACGACTCTCATGCTCAAGTTGCTGAAATTCCAAGTCTTCAAAGTGTTTGCTTTCAACATCCAACAGGTCAGCATCCTTTGGAGAAAAGGGAATGCAAACAAAGCATACCAGGATGGCTGGATGTCTTTTCAGTGTGAAGAAACAATGGTTAAAAGCTTCAGTCTAAGACAGAGACAAGACCGTGTAAGGCCAAAATCTGTGAAGGAGTTGAACACTGGAGCCCTGCCTTTTAGAGGGGAACTGCAGAGGGCACTGTGTGGAGAGCAGCATTTACGTCAACAGCTTCAAGTTTTCTGAACATGGAAGAATTTTGGTTTTAAATCCACTAGATGGCTTAAAATGGACAGTGATGTGTAGAAAGAATTTGGCAAATAACCTAATGTTACCTGCAGTCCAGTCTCTTAAAATAATTGTTCACAGTTTTCGTATGAAATATATAACAAAACAGTAGACTAAAATAGTTCAAGATAGTCTAAAAACATATCAAAAGTCTTTAGAGGGACTAGATGTACCCTAGATGTTATGTAACACAATCCACAGGGATATAAAGAGAAAAAAAGCAAACCTTTATATTTAGGATTAGTGTTTATTTACTTGGTCAGTTTTGTTTCATTTTCTGTATCTCTTTCTATATTTTTTCCTTTCTTTCTTTGGTTTTTATTTTCTTGAGATAAGGTCCCACTATGGAGCCCCATCTGGGCTTTAACTCACCATCCTCCTGTCTCAACCTCCAGAGTTCTGGTATTACAGGCATGTGCTACCACACTCAACTCAACTTCTTAAGAATTTTTTTAAATGTACACATCAGTAGTAAATGTATAAAATTTAAACGATATAGTCTTTAGGCATTCATGCACTAAATGTATTTATTATATTGTTGATAATATGCAATATAGAGAGGATACATGCTCAAATACCTCTATTGAAAAGAACAATTAGCAACATTTGAACATGGACCATGGTAAGAAAGATGTGTTATTCTAGGCTCAGAAACTGTAACCAATGGAGTACTCTGGTTGGAGGATATTGCTAACGGAGAGGGTTATGCCTAAATGGGAAGCGTGTGTATACTCTGCTCAGCTTTGCTCTGAATATACAACTCAAAAAATAAAAATGAAAAAAGAATCTCTTTAAAAAACGTTTGGAGATTGAGGTTCTTAACTGAGTCTTTATGCACCCTTTACAGTTGTCCATAAATCTCTTTATTGGAAAGAGTACACCCAAAGCTTTCACCAGGCACAATGAAATACTCAAAAAGTTAAGCACCTCTACCTTGAGAATCACTGAAGACATTTATGGAAGGTCAAAAATTAAGAAATGAACAGGCATTCTTCAACTTCTGAGATATTTTGAGAAAAAATGAATGTATTCAAACAATCTGCATTTCTGCAGGGGTTGGAGTACCTTGTATAAATTATTCTTAAGTTCGTTTAAAAATGCCCATTTATTTTTGGAGCCTCTAACAGAATTACAATTGAAGTATGAACAGAATATCTTATAATTTACAAATACTCTTTGACCAAAAGGAAGAGGTAGTTGGGCACTGCGGCTAACAGCTCTGAAGAGCTAAAACAGGACATTCTTTATTACTGTTATTCACTTAAATCATCCAGAGTGTTTGAAAAGTAATCATATGATAAATTAGCTGTATATCACTATCATCAGGTTTTATTCAATGATAAATTTAGATCTTTCCATTTAAATGGAAATCTTTCTGCCTCTGCGGTGAATTATAGTCATTGAGCTGAGTCATTAAAGGGCTATTAGTGACCACAAACTTGAAACCAACACTATAGCAATAAGGTTATGGAGATATGCACTGGATTTACAAAGTGTAAGAGCAGGAAAAACATAATTTGAAAAACATATTCAAGGCTGAGTATGCTAGCATAGGCCTATAATCCCAGCACTCAGGAAGGTGAGGCAGAAGGATCATGAGTTGTGAGACTCTATCTCCAAAGGGGACTGGGATGGGGAGAGGGTGACATTTTTCTTAGACAAATTTTTAAAAAGCTATATATGTATATATATAATATAATATAATTAATATATATTCACATTGGTTTATTGAAGATATCTCAACTCTTAATTTCAATGCTTTGGCTAATATTTCCAGTTTATCAGCCATTTCTAAAGAAATCGTTTTATTAAAGAATTAAAGAAATAATGCACTAGCTGATATATTTATACACACAAGCATATACAATGAAATTTCAAGATCTTTCTTTTAAGCTTATTTTGGGGTTTAAGATAATTAAGATAAAAATTTAAAATTTGCTTACTGGCTTATGAATTATCTTTATTTAAAGAGTGCATGTGGTTCACAATATACACTATACTAGTCAGTTGCTTACTCCACATGTGGTTAAGATCCAACACATGTTATTTTAACCCTGAATGACAGCAACAGACTCATTCACTGATTGGTAGTAAATATTTAAACTACTCCATGAAAATAATAGCACACAGGGAGAAAAGATGAAAATTAAGCAGAGCTCAGTACTCAGGTACTGTAGGCTTGATCATCTCATCAAGTCATCTGTTAGAACATGTGTGTCTAAACTCTGAATGAAAAGTTATTTGGGAGGAGAATAAAAACTTTAAACATTCTAGATAATGCAATTACAGGAATGGTATTCGGAGATTAGCACAGTTTAAAAGAAACAGGACAACATACCCAGAAAGGTATAAGTCAAGCAAACCAGCTGAATGAAATTTTTAAAAATATTTTATTATTTTTTTTTTATGTGTCTAAGTGTATTGCCTGCATGTATTTAAGTGCACCCGTGTCTTGCAGTGCCTGTGGAGGTCAGAAGAGGGCATCGGATCCCCTGGAACTGGAGTTACAGACTGTTGTTAGCTGCCACATGGGTGCTGGGTACTGAACCTAGGTCCTCTGCAAGAGCAGCCAGTGCCTTTAACTGCTAAGCCATCTCTCCAGCCCCCTGAATTAAAATTTTAACAAAACTTCCACTCACTGAAGGGACATCACAAACCCCTACTGACTGGAAAGCTGAAAGGGTAGGAGAGAAAAACCACAGTTGCCCTAAGGAAAATTCTGTGCTATTCCTTGCGCGCGTGTGTGTGTGTGTGTGTGTGTGTGTGTGTGTGTGTGTGTAATCATATTTTTGTGAGAATTTATAGAGCAGACATATGCAGGCAGATCGTTATGTATTTTTTTTTTCTAATGGAGAGACAGAAAGAGAACAGATGTGGCATGACCAGACATTATTCTAGAAATAATCTCTGTTTAAGGCCAACTCTGAAAGCAAACTGGAATGGGGCTCTGGGTTTGTTAACCATCTCATGTTCCCTAGTCAAACACTTCACATGCTTTTGGAATATAGAGAAAGGCAATAGTATGACCTTCTCTTATGTGTAAAGACATTGCATTCCACAGAAACTGAATGATTTTCTAAGACTGTGGGAACACCCTGGCCCACTGTCTGTCTCTTCTGCTTTAACAGTGGACATTATCCCAGCAAACACAAACCAGCAGACTTCTGTGTGAGCCTGTCTGGACTACACACCAGAGAGCCACAAACTCATTATCAGCTACAAGTTCTATTCATTCTAAAGCAGTGATTCAGGGGCAAGATGCCACAAGAGCACAAGTTGCTTGCCCAAGACAATTCAGCTCAGGCTTTCAAGGCAACACATAGTTTAAGAAAATGATTTTCTTCCTTTCTATTTACTTTTTACTTTATGTGACATGCCATCTAATGCAGTTAGTTGTCATAAAATAAACTGCTGACTTTACTGTAAATGCCTTTGTGGAAGCTTTGTAATGAGGTGGTATTTGAAGTTTTTGCAGTCTGAAGAGAAATGAGTTGTGATAGATAACACAGTAAATTCCTAAGAATGAACTTGTAAAATAAGTGAATTTCTACCAAGGGACTGGTGAAGTTATAGTGATCATCAACCCTGGAGAACAGAATTAGAAGTTTTCTCAATATGCAGTGAGCAGAAGCTACCGGAAACCAAGGAGAAGGCCCTATGATAAGAATTGACCCTCTGTTTGGAAAGGATGAGCAGTCTTTGTGTAATAGAGCGAATCTTTGTATCACTTCCTCTCATCTTTTGAAACATAACCTTCAAAACATATTGAGAGTTATGAACTACCGTATAGAATCAGATTATGCAAAAAGCAATTAGTTATATTAATGACTCCGGGTTATTACCAGAATCTAGGAGGGTTTATTGGAAGCAATGCTTATGAAGAACAGAGACACACTAGACACACTAGTTATTACTAGAAGAACAACAAAATATATAACCATAGTACCTACCTAGAGAAGGAATCACAGTGACTATGTGAATTCATTAGCAGTAAGTACAGTTTAAAAAAACACTAAACAAATATAAAATTCAGCATTATCTCTCTTTTGTGAACTGGCAAAAACATAATTACAAACTAAAATAATTCCACACATACTAGTCTTTTTGCAATCACTTTTATCATGAGGTTTCCAGAGAACTGTGACATCAAGGGACTTGCAGCAAGTTCAGCTTTACAAAATAAAATAATACAGGGGAAGACACCTTGTTAAAAGATTCCTCGATATAACTTTATAAGATATAAAAATTGTTTGTTATGCTACAGTAGTTTCATTTGCTTGTAATGGATACTTTTTTAGACAAGGTCTTGCTATGTAGCTCTAGAACTGACTATCAAGACCAGGCTGGCCTCCAGTGTACAATGATCCTCTGGCCTCTGCCTCTTGAGTGTTGGGATTCCAGGCCTAGGGCCCCATGCCCAGCATATTAAGATTCCCTCAATCTCTGCAATACATCAAATGGTTTTAACTCTAATTTCTCATTATCTAGTGGTGTTCCAAGAAATATCAAATACTTTCTTTTATAAAGATCACCTTAAAATTTTTCAAGGATGCTATCATAATGGATTGTTCTGCTTTTTCATTCTCAGGATGGTAGTAAACAAAGCTTGAATAAAATTTGCCTTCTTGTTTATTCCTGTGAAAGCATAAATTGTTACTCAGGACAAATTTCTATTCCATGACTCCTTTAGAGGTACAAGGTTGTTAAAGCCTGTTTTCTTGGGATTACTGATGATTTGGACCATTGGTTAGAGATGACCCAGTCCTCAAGACACTATGAACTATTATGTGATTGTGCCAGTGTTTGTGAAGTTACCCACTTAAGAAGCCTCCTTTTCAGAAGTTAACCAGCATGGTTGTATTAAACAGGGCCAACATTAAGGAAAGGAGAACAACACAGGAACATTTAGCTTGAAGGTTCATGCTGCAGCGCACACTTAGAAGTTAAGATGCCTGTATAAGGAGATGTGGAAGGCATTTCTCATATTCCCCATCTTGGATCTTGGTGTTAGACTGCTGTCATCATGAAACAAGTTCAATGTTACTAATCCTCAGGAAGAAAAAAATAACAGGTGGGGGACCTTACAAATCAGAATGATAATTTTCAGACAAAATCGTAAAATCAAGCTCAGGGGGAGTATTCAAGAGCAAACAATATTCACATCACAGCAGAAAAAGACATCAGCACATGTAATCCTGCCATCTTGGTGGCAATTATCAGTCAGGAACAAGAATGTCTCCAGGAACATTTCCGCATATAAATTAGGGACAGGATTCTCACAAGGAACTTTTCAATTGATTAATATGGAGTGGTATACACTGTTGGCATGCATATTTCTATTTTAAGGATCTAAAGGCTAGAATTTAGGCAAACTTATGCTATGTGAAGTAGTAAGTCATAGCTAAGCAGCACGTAATCAAAAAGAAAAAAAGAAAAACAAGTGGTACATTCCTGGTTGCTACTGACCCTCTTGAGTTGTTGCTGTAACTGTTCCCTCATGGACTCAGGACAATTGTCCAGCTGCGTCTTCTGCTCGGAGTAAAGCTCCTGAAGCCTTTCTAGTTTTTCCCTTTCAGCATCAAGCTTTACCTTCTCCTGAAGTTCAGAAATCAGAAAATAGAAGAATAGATATTAACTTTCACACCCCAGGCAGGTGCTACTGAACATTTCTCAGTGGCGTCACACACAGGCACAAGCAGTAAATACTCTATGAATGAACAGTGTGTTAGCGGTTAGGGCCAAGAGATATAAGTAGAAGTTAATATTCTGCATTCTCAAAACACAATCTGCTTCACCGGGCATTGATGACGACCTGCCCTTCCTTCCTTCCCTCCTTCCTGCTACCACATACAAAGGCAGAGGAAGCAACCGGAAGGGTGAATATTGATCACTGGCCAATAAAGAACAAAAGAGACGCCAACCTCATTCATATGATATCCTGGCAAAGAGTCTGTCAGAAAATGTGATAAAAGAGAGGAGCTATTTATTTACCTTAAAGTACTGTCATGGCCCAAACTGCTAGAGACGTTTGCTAAACAAGTTTTGGAAATTATTGCAATCTGTTCTCTCAAGTCAGAGGTGCTCTAAGAGCACTGGTGGCAGGCTGGTCGGCTGGAATGGTTCTAGAAACTGGGAATGCTTCAAAAGTGAAGCAATTGGAAAAACCAGAGAAACATCTGTTTCGGGCACTGAGGGAGCTAGTAGGAACCTAAGACTGATAAAACAGCGAGAGGAAAGTGAACGAGGTTGCTCAGACACACCAAAGCTGTGACCTTGACCATGGAATCCTTACAATGGATGATTAAAAAATGCAAAGAGAAAGGGAGGGAGGGAGGGAAGGAAGGAAGGAGTGACTGTGAAATAAAGAAGAGACCCCAAGATCCAGAGGAGAAATGAAGAAGAAAGGCAGCACCAAATTCCTCGAGTCATACATGCTAAGTGACTATGACATCACCAATCAGCAAATACTATATAGAGTGGTGGCATGGTTTGACAACGACCCTCCTGGATTTAATGCCACTTTTCTCAGCTGTGGTACATTCTGTAATGCTCTGAACACTTAAAGCAAAATTTAGGCAAGATTCTCTCTGTGTATAATGCTTTCAGTCTAAATAAAAACATTTTATGAAGCACTGTCATGACTTGACTCTCAGTAAGTAGGAAGACCACCACCTTGCTTTCCCTACACCTCTTCTATGTTAGGAAAGAGGATTTTTTAAAAGATGAAGATTTGAAAGAGTTCTATAGAATCAGCTTGTCTGTAATTCCTGCATCCAAATGTCCAGGATTTCCTGCGAAAACACACATCTAGATTCTTGACAAAAGATGTTATCATTCAAATCTAAAACAGTATGACATCAACATGCACCCAAGTTTAGGTGAGTCTCTAGTTTCTGAGCTGATTTTAAAATTTCAAGGGTATTTTAGACATGTACTTTTTTTTCAAAATTATCAACTCCCCAAATTATAAAGTTGAAAAGCCTACTTCATTTATAAAACTAAAATAATTCTACAACAATGTAAGAGTCTACTAGAAAGTTTCTCCAAGCTTTCACACTACACTTGCTCACCTGGCTAGGAGAAAGCAGGGGCACGGTTAATGGGGACAGTGTTATAGCAAAACTGAATACTAATAATTCTGAATTAGTTTCAGAATTAATACATTTCCATTAATAAAACCAACAACATAACACAGATGCCTGTTGAATTCTGGCTAAGAAAATGTTATTTTTCCTGTGTATGGATCAAAGATTGCTCAATTTACATAGCAAAAGAAGCGCATCCAAAAAAGTTCTATTTCTAGAAACTGAGTCACCAGACTTGGCAACAACTCTAGTTCCAGACAGAAAAATAAAAACGAAAATAAAGACTATGTATTATAATTAAATATCACAGGGACAGTGCCCTGTAATTTAAAGTTGGTAGAAAATATTGATACAATACTAGTTAATATAGAGAGCGACTGCGCTTAAACACAGATTTCAGATATGAAGACACTACCAAACTACTGCTCTGATGTGCTAAATGTTATATTTTATTAATAACAAACACAAAGAAAACAACTGATAAAAAAAAATACCTCACGTTTACAGAGTACCTTCCTTCTGAGCCGATCAGATTGTTTCACAATTCCATATAAGGGTGCGGTTAAAAGAATTAGGTAAGCGGGCACCATTAGAACCTTCTGCAGTTTTCCCTGTGGTTTATCTGGAATGCTCTGACCACTACCTTGGTCCCAAGAGCAAAAGCTCAGTGGGGCCAAAGCCAGGGCATAGGAAAGAGAGGGGAAGGATGCAGGGAGGATTAAGGGCAGGTGGCCTCAGTTACAAATCACAGAGGTGACATCACTCCCGCAAGAGCCCAAGTAGAACAACTTTGAGCCAGAAAGAAATTAATATTCCTCTCTTCTATTTATAGCCCAGGAAGTTTTCAAAGGAAAATTAGGTGAAGGGAAACACTTAGAGCTAAAGACATCACCTTCTACAATGAAGGCAAAAATAACCAGGAATTCTTGTTTTTTACATGTAAAATATTTACTATCATTCCCTTTCCCAGACTCAAGAGGGCAAATGCACCTATTCTAACTACTACAGACACAGATTTGTCTACTTTCAGGAAATGAATTTAAAACTTAATAAATTTTGCTTTGTTGAAACATAAGATCATAAGGATCTTGAGCACCCCAGTAAAATCCAGGTTACATGGGACATTTACAAACCCTAGAACAAGATAGGAGTCCTCAGAGGACACTGCTGCTCATAGTTCTGCCCCCTTCTTGTCTTGTTTTCTGTCCTGGTGCTACATGTGCTGTCTTCTCATGATGCTGGCCAAGTTCATTACTAGGTCCTGCCTGCTCTGCATATTTAAGACAGATCTTTCTGAAGCTCCCAGCTCAAATGAGGTCAATAGTAAATTTTCACAAACAAATTAAGGTAGAAATCAGTATATAAAATTTGGCCTATACAGTTGCCCCTCAGTATCGTCAAGAGATTGCTCTGGGAGACCCCCGATGATGAGGAAGTCTATAGAGATGCTGACTGTCACATAAAATGCCGTACCATTTGCACATAACCTGCATAATCCTCCAGTATATCTCAAATCATCTCTAGATTACTCATAATAGTTAGTACAATGTAAATGCTAGGCAAATAATTATTATACTCAATTGTTTAGGGCATAATGACAGAAAAAAGTCTATATGTGTTCAGGACAGATACATGTATATTTATATTATATATTTAAATATCACTAATCTGTGGATGTGAATGCAAGGATACAGAAAACTGGTTGCACGTGCATTTGTTGAGAGCTATCTACTTACTCAGTAAAGATTAAAGAAGGACTAGAGGTAGAAAAGTAGAGACTTGTTCAGTCTCCTTTAATTTTAGCTCATTTCTTTCTCTTTTTCTTTCTTTTTTTTTTTTTTTTTTTTTTTTTTTTTTTTTTTTTGGTCTTTTTGAGACAGGGTCTCCCTGTAGCCCCAGCTGACCTGGAACTTACTATGTAGACCAGGCTGGCCTTGAACTCAGAGATCTGCCTGCCTCTACCTCCCAAGTTCTGGGACTACAGGTGTGCACCATCATGCCTTGCTTACAGACCCCATTTCTTTTTTTTTTTTTCTTATTTTTATTTTATGTGTATGAGTGTATTATGTGTATGTGAGTGCACCTGTGTCAAGCAATCCATGGAGGTCAGAAGAGGGCTTTGGATTCCCCTGGAACTGGAGTTAAGGACAGCTGTAGCAGCCACGTGGGTGCTAGGAATTGAACCCGGGTCCTCTGCAAGAGCAGTCAGTGCCCTTAATTGCTGAGCCATCTCTCTAGCCCCCAGATCCCATTTCTTAAGCCGCAGTTAGGTCACAAATACAGGAACATGAAACAGACTAGCAAACATTTTTTTAATCTACGTTTTCTGCCATGTAGCCAGGTTGAGAACCACTGGCTTAGCCATTCAGGATTATAAGAGACAAAGGAAATTACAACTTCATTTTTCTAATGACATAAGACAAGTAATTCAAGATCCAGCAAAAATTGTTCTCAGGGGCTGGGGTGATGGCTTCATCTTGAGGCCGGGGTTTGATCCCCAGAACGCACGTAATGTTGGATGCAGTAGTGCATGTCTGTAATCCCAGCACCCCTCAGTGAGATGAGATGGAGACAGGAGCACCCTCAGAAGCTCAGGGCCAGCTATCCTGGCATACGCCCCAGTGAGCAAGGACACCTGTCTCAAACGAGGTGGAAGATGAAGACCAAAATCCAAGATGTCTTCTGACCTCCTCCACATGACTGCCAAGGTACTCACGTGCCCACACTCACATGAACACACACATGCACACACATGCGCACACACACACACACACACACACACACACACAAAGAAAAAAAATTGTTCTTAAAATAATTGACTCCCTCATTGACTGTGTTTTCATAGCATAAAAACTCTCTTTTTTTTTTTTGGCCTTTTTGAGACAGGGTCTCCCTGTAGCCCCAGCTGTCCTGGAACTCACTATGTAGACCAGGCTGGCCTTGAACTCACAGAGATCCACCTGCCTCTGCCTCCCAAGTGCTGGGACCAAGCTTTTATAAGTAATTCACATTTGTTTTTGTTTGTTTGTTTGTTTGTTTGATTGGTTGGTTGGTTGGTTATTTTGGTCTTTTTGAGACAGGGTCTCCCTGTATTCGGGCTGGCCTGGAACTTACTATGTAGACTAAGCTGGCCTTTAACTCACAGAGATCTGCCTGCCTCTGCCTCCTAAGTGCTGGGGTTAAAGGTGTGTACCACTACACCTGGCCATAGTAATTCATTTTTGTATATATTTTTTACATTCAGATTAAATGACTCAGGTAAATCAAGGAAAGAGGGAACTGTGACAGACCCTACTGTCCAATTCAGAGAGGAATGATAGATTTCAAGTTTGGATGCGAATGATGCCTTCTCATCATGCAAATGTCAAGAGTGGCTGTAAATTGACTCAATAATTTGAGTGGCCTCACAAAAACTTTAAATATTCTGTAAAAGTTCCAGGACCCCCATAGAACTGTTTATTTCACTAGATCTTCTGGCAGGAAGACAGTAATGTGTTTTGTCTCTTCTTA